AAATGGTGCATTTATTATAAATACAAACGCTAAACAAAGTGATGTGTAATTAATTTTGTAAGTAAATAAACTGGCAATGACATAACAAAGAAAAAAAAAAGAACCATTTCAACAATCGATATAAATATATAGAATATGTAACAACATAAATCGACAAACGAATAAATGTTCTGCCGAATGCCAGATGCCGACCCATGAATATTTTATTTTATTAAGATAAAATGAAATTGAAAAAAAAAACGAAAGGAATAGTATGATGAAAGAAACCTAAATTCACTGAATCAAAATAATATTGTAAATACGAAAAATCACACACACACACACACAATTAACATGTAAGTCCAATGACCATAATGTGTCATGTCGGTATTTGTAAAACATTTAAAATCTAGAGAGCTTAAGTTTCAGCGTTATTTATAGCTAATTTACGTAAAGACAAAAAAAAACAACAAAAATTATATATAGATATATATGTATTTAATTTATAAACTTGATGCAAAATGAACGAAAGAATTAAATCAAATATGCAAACAATTTCAAGTCTTCAAAAAGAAAACCAATTTTGTTTGATGTTCGTTTTTTCCCTATAAGTTTGCTATATGGATATTTTACCGAATCTCATCACAAAACTAAAAAAAAATTAATAAACCGAAAATCGATTGAATTGTTGGACTGTTTTACTTTCCATGCAAAGAAAATATGAACTGAAAATGTAACTTTGACATTTGCTTCGAAACCGTTCAAAGCCTCTATATCAGTTTATTATCGAGAAAATGCATTGTGATAAACAAGAAATTAGAAAAAGAAGAAAATCATTTTTTTCTTAGAATTTACAGTGATTCTCAATTATCTATGTTTAAGTTATCGAACATTTGTAAGCATACACATGTGTGAATCTGCATGCACCCACTCACACACACACACACGCACTAATACACATCTGGCATACTATAATTATGATCTGGTGTATTGAACGTTGACTTTTTTTGACATAAATTGCATCGTCAATTCAATGCTTGCATAAAATCTTTCGAGAAATTTATTTAAAATGCCTTTTTGTTAAAAACAATTCAAAACATTTAATTTTGCTCGATTAAGACAATTTAGGATTTTCAAATTTGCGCTCATCTTTTCTGAATTGAGTTTAATTTTATTCTATTAGAAATTAAATGATCGAATGAAAGGTGTCGAAGTCGCTTAATAAGAATAACCATTATGATATTCGTTAATAGTAACAACCGTCTTGACTATTTTGTTCAGTAAACAACAAATAATCACCTTAAGATGTGGTTCAACTGGATTGAAGTCACATGATATGGTAATTTGACAACGTCCAATACACGATAAAATGGAATATTTAAATAAATAACCAAAAATGTTTGTTTGATCCTTTTGTTATTAATATTATATAGATGAAAAAGATTTTCTCTCTTTTCGAAATTTGAATGCATCATTTTTTCACTCAAAAATTAATTGAACCGAATTCAAATATTCAATTACGTTTAAATTATAGCTTCTATTGGGTTAATTGAAAATAAAATCTCCTTCTTTTTTTTTAAATTAAGTTTAATCAAATAAAATGGACAAATCTCTGATGTTATATCAAATAAATAAAATGAAAAGAAAAATAAATATCCACAAGTTGATAAATGTAAAATGTTTAAGATTTTATACTTCAAATAAAACATAATATGAGTAACAGAAGAAATGTATTTTTCCTTCTTAGCAACACATAGCACAGGTATGAACTCTTGAAAATTGCTTATTATTGGAACGTCATCTACTTTGTTCTTTTTTCGCAACTTTTAATAAATCGCGTGTGCGAGACAAAGGATATTGATATTTTAAAAAATTACCCGAATATAATATTGGTAATTGAGATGTTGTAAATGAAAATAATTCCCCAGTTGAATGAAACATTTTCAATTGGCAAATAATTTATTCGATTGCATTGCGTTTTTCATATTGAGGTATGTATCACAAGAAGAAGCTCAGAATCGTCTGTTTTTTTTTGATGAGGTACAGAAAAATTCATCTTACTTGTTTGCTTGATACCTGCTTCTCATACGGTTCATAGGTAATCCCTGGAATACCTTATTATATATTATTGTTGATGCTCTCTTATACAGTTCACTTAATATGTTTCTATTTATTTTTATTTGGTAACTTTTCTTCACACAAAACACTGATATCAGACTTAAAAACGCTTACAATTTATTTACTTGGATGAACACACTTCAAACATGCCTAAATTGGGTATGGTGCCAGCATATGAGTGTTGCACCTGCAAAATGATTTGGTTGATTTGAAAATTTGGTGATGCGTCACCATTCCGAACTTTGCACCAATTAGAGGAGCTGAACATGCGTAACAATTACTTTTATACGAGCAAATGTTACACGGAGTGAGAGAATAAGATGCGAACAACAACAACAACAACAACAACAACAGCATCAAGATGATCGATTTTCGATTTATTTTCAATAATTCAATTCGAAAATTATTGAAAACGAAGCAAAAATCGTAAATGTTATTGTTTTCACAAAAAATCATTTGAAGTGGTCGTCGTCGATTGGCTGAACTACTTTAAAAACAATTGAACAATTTTATTTATTCTTTGTGCTCATACACTAAAAAAGAGATAGGTTCCAATCCGAAACAAAAGCCTCCAAATAACGACCAATATCAAACTACGCTCAATTCATAAAACCAATATAATTCAATAATTATGCATAATTTGCATGAATAATTATTTTTAAAATGTAGAAGTACAGAAAATAAACGATCTATTTGCTCTACAAAAAGAAGAAAGTTATTTTTTAGTTCATTGTCATATTGGTTCAATAATGATAAAAATAGCAATACCATTAGATTCTATTAACTAATAGGATGACGCATTTTAGCTGACTTTTCATTGTTCACAGTCAAGCGAGATACTTTTGCCGCCGGCGATAATGTAATTGTGAAATGTGATAAAGAGATGTTTAGAAAATTTATTTGATTCATTGAATGTACTTTTTTTTTAAAGTAATTCAATTGCAATGTGACCAATTTTTTCTGCTCAATATAAAAAAATATGCGTATACAAAATTTACCCTTTTGCCGTTGGCGACAAGTACACAGCGACCAATCTAATCGGAAATGCAAATACTGTGATGTGAATTGTATGTGCCGATTCAGCAATGTAGGGTGATTTCTTCAACATAAATAGTCACGAGAAGAAGAAAAACCCTTCAAGCAAACCAGATACATTCTAGTTCACTGAACTGTACACATATCAATGAGGAAAAATCGGAGTGTACGCCCAAGTTTTGAATTTGTAATATTTTTTATCCACTTCAACAGTTCATTTCGAAATTAAATTTAGCATTGCCATTTGCATTGATGAGCAATAAAATGGGAAGAGAAAAAAAACAAGTAATGATTCACATTTTGCAGTGGCGTAGATACAATGAGGGTTTTGACGTTCAAATCATCCCTGAAATGGAACTAATACACTTTCTTGAGGAAATGATTTGAACAAAAAAATATCACTCGCTTCCGAGGGTCACTATTTTCAAAGTTACGAATATTTTTGTATGACAATTTTCTTCTTACATAATACGTAGCACCGTGTAAGAATTTTACCTCACTTCGTCCCTTTCTACTCTTCGTTTTTGAACACACCTAAATCGTGTAGCTATTATACAATTGGCTTTAGAATAAACGAACCTTCTATGTAACTGCGCTACTGCACATTGGTGTGTGGGTTCATTATGGTAAGTTTGAAAATGCAAGATTCAATTTGAATGCATAATTTATTTTTCGGAACTTTCTTTTCCCGAATATCCAAAGTACATTTTCGTCATCAACAAATTTGAGCGCAGATTCTTTTCAAAATGACAAGATAGAGATAGTAACACAGAAATACATTCATATTTGAATGAATATGGAGACAGCCAATCTATAACAGAATACTTCTGTTGGTATTTTGAAGTACAAGACGTTGATTCATCATTTTTCTATCGATATATAGCGAAACATATAGCTAGCCATTATGAATACACGTTGTATGTATGCGTCAATACAAATCAATATCCATAATGTTTTGAGAGTTTATTAAGATATTATCATCGTAAACGTGAAAATAGATTACAAAAGTACAAATAGTGACCGTTTCTTTTATATATTGTCATTTTGGCAATAACGATGATCATGAGAGAGATAGAAGAAAAAGAATGAGACAGTCATCACAGAAGACTCTTCAGAGAGCGTGGCACACTTTGTGTCTTCTGTGTTCGGGTAACAATAATACATACATAACGGTATGAATAGCTATCTAAGAATAAGAAATGCTGAGCCAACAGAAGTTCTTATGCTATTTGTACGCCATATCTAATCCATATAAAAAGAATTTATTATACTGTTTTCTAGCCCGTATCCAGTCAAACAGTCCAAAAAACCGCCAGCCAGCATATACAAACAGTAAAAAAAATTCTTGTTATTTTATTATATTTCTCGAAATGTGTGATGCAAAAACAAAGCCAAATCATCATCGGCAAAAGAAATGGCATTGACAAAGAAAAATAAGCCATACACAAAAGAGAAACACAACAACCATCGAATTAAATCAAGAATCTGACACAAAACAAAACATATGAGAAAATATTTTTTAAGAAAATCTATTTGTCTTGGTAATAAAAAAAAGAAGAAGTCTAATCCATTGAAAGCCTCCGATGAATGATAAGAGTAAAGAATCAAACAAGAATAGTGGAAAAGGACAGCAAAACATTACGCTCGCAAAGAGGATCGAGTAGATTTGTATTTTACTCCTGCACGCCGTGCACAAAATAAGGAGCAGAAAAAGGGGCCATAAAAGAAAACAAGAAAATATTAGCATAGACATGGTAAAAGCGCAATAACAGAACGTAACGAGAACGCAAGAAAGCAAAAGGAAAACAGAATTTTTACATAAAAAAATATATATATGAAGATATAATAATAAGGGTACTTCGACTTACATCAGTAGTGAAAGTATGGGATTGAATCTCATTGCAAACAAGCCGCATCTCCACATTAATTGATGCTATGAAATGAACACAAAAGGCACACATACCGTACGAATGTTTGCATATGTGCAATTTTTTTGTATTATAATGATATGAAGAGCGTCATGACGACAACGTTGACAACGGCACCGACGGCGACGAACAGCAACAGCATCGGCACCAGCAGTTGTAAAAATCCATAGACATTTTTTTTAAATATTGGTGTTGTTGTCATTTCATATTCCACAGCGTACACACAAACGATGAATGAAAATAATAAAAAGAGCATTGCATTAATATAACAACTAGGAAAAAAAATATTTAAAGCATAAAATATGAATGAAAAAACCCACAAAGGCGAATTGATTCACCAGGAATTCACATTTCACCTGTGGGGCTTTTCTTGTTTGGAATGAAAAAAAAACACACACACTGCGTAAAAATATGCACGTCGCAAACTTTCTTTTCGTATTTGTTCCTTTTTGATCGCATCACTTTTACCAGATGGCAAAGTATTGAAATTTATGTAAAACACCATTTTCTAACCGGTTCGTCCATAAGCAATGACAAACATTTGCATATTCAATCAAAACGTGCATAGATTCCATTTGGGATTTAAAGGGGGAAAGGGTGAAAAAACTATATAATCAGAATTAACTTACAATCTGATCCACAGACGGCCGTTTCATCGAAGAACATTTTGACGATACTTTGAGTGTAGTCGATTTCAATTTTCTTGCTTTTTTTGCACAAATCAACTCTATGGTTTTTGTCCGCATAAGGGATCTGTACGACATGAAATGAATAATATATATATTATTATTTCGTAATTGTTCACAATTGATATAGAATTTACCGTTATCATGCCATCAGTGAAAATCTGTCGAAGATCAAGGCTGTGATTTATTTGTGGATTGTACAATTCGCACGTTTCTTCACGGAATTCTCCATTAACCATTGGGCACATTATGTTTGTGGCCCATTCAAATTCGTAGTGACATTCATTTGAAATGCTTTGTAATATTGGTGTTCCCTGTACCACAAAAATTGTCACCAAAATTAAAAATAACAGCCACAATATGACAGTGCAAAATAAAATACCTTTCCCGCTGCTGGATCGCAATAGAATTCAATTTGTGATGATAGTTTTGTTTGTTTGTCCTGTGGACAGACATTTCCATCGAAATATTTCAACTGTGGTCTCGAACCATGTTCCGTACGAACAAATGTTAGCGAAGCACGAGGATATCCCAAACTCTTTTTATCAAAACCACATAACAATTTTAGTTTAATAATAAATTTAAAAAAAAATTGAGATTCAAAAATTAAAAAAAAAAGACTCTAGAACAGTAGTGTGCGAGGAAAATATTTCAAGGGTGGGCTGATTTTTCGAATCCAAAAAAAAAATCGGAAAAAATCCTCTCGGAACCGAAAACCCTAGCAAATTGAAAGAATTCTCCTCAATTTTCTACATTGATGAGCTAAAAAAAAGGTCTTTACTTTTTGAATCAAAAACTCTAGCAAATTCGAATAAATTTCTCATCCAAATCACAACCCCCCCTCCGCCCACTACTGCTCTAGAATGAATAACCAATCAATATTCCATTCAATTTCAATGAAAATACGTCCAATTCACATATTTAAAAAAAAACTGCATAAAATTGAGAAATTCTCTAAATTTGAATTTTATATTTATGCAACGTAGAACAAAACGCGACCGACACATCTTCAAAGAAAATTCAATGAAACAAATCCAAAATGAACGAAATAAAAAAAAAATTGACGTGAATTAACGACAAAAATTGACGAACAAAAAATTGACGGAAAAACTGAACAGAGAAAAACCACCAAATCAAATGATTGATTAAAATACACTTACTTGCTCTTGTTCTGGATTTTTTGTGCCATTTGTTATTGCACGACATGCTGCAGAATTGGCATTGCAGCTGAGTCCGTATTGTGGCACGAGTGGTTTGCAAACATTCAAATAATACTGAAAAAGAACAGGACACAATGAATTTGAGGAACGACAAAAAAAAATCAAACCATTTAAGCAAATAATAGCATCAATCGCTGTGCGAGCTCCATTGAAGTATATTGTTCAGTAGACTATGCTATTCTCATGATTTGTTTAATGTAAATCTCGCATTGTGAACATAGCGATACTCATTCTCGATTGTGAGATATGCGTATAACAAAAAAGACCGTGCCGATATCATAGACAAATTTAAGTGAGATTTATAATTGAAATCCGAATAAAACGTGGTTTGGTATAATCTCGGCCGTTTATTTAAACCATGATACCAAATGAAGTTCACAGATTTGCTATTGATTATTATTCATTTGACTAAGCAAGACATTGAAGATGTAAACGAATGTCGATGCGAATAAATATACTTCATTTCGTATATTTTACGTATGAATAGGAAAAGTTTATATTTTGCGAAAAAACTGCCATTCTCTACAAAATCCAATCTCAATTTGAATGACATCGATATAGGTCACATCTACACACGTAAACCATATCAAAGAACAATATTTCTCTTTTATCACAATTCCATTCATAAGTGAAACAATCAATGGTAAATAAAGCAAAAGTATGTTGACAATTGCTTTTGAAACTTTTTGACGATGAGGCAGGACCTACGGCCTTTAATACATTCATTTTTATCGTCTCTAAAAAATTCTCTTTTAATTTAAAATTCTCGGCCGAATGCTTGCCACACAAAAACTTACCAATATTCCATTTGGTTGCTTTGATTTAATTGTATCATTTATTCGTGCCAAGTAATTATGTGTGCTACTTTTAAGTGGAGTTAAGTCAATCTCTTCATCAGTGTATATATTATGAGCTTTGCATTGAATCTAAAAATAAATTTTGGTATTTTTAAAATATACGTACTTTATTTTTCGAATAAAAAAAAACACATTTTCAAATGCCAAATAGTTTTTGCTCACATCATTTCTGCACACCAATTCCGTTGGAAATTGAATAAGAAGCGTACAGTTCGTGTCTTCAATAACCTTTGGGCCAGCTTCGATTCTCTCGTGTTCACATGCAAATTCAATTTTTGTTGTCCATTGTTGTGTATCACAAGCCGAACCACTTTTATACAAAATATATGGTGCTTCGTTTTTCTCTTCCGACAATTGAAGTTCACTATTAACGATTCCAAGCGATGCGGATTGGCCTTTTTGGTCACCAGTCACCAAACAAGCACCGGCTTTACCATTGCATGGTTCTTTTGGTTCTGAGCATACGCCAAAAACATATGTCTGATTTCCATGTTGTACTCGATACGATTGACCACTCAATGCATTCAAATCATAACTGCAAATCAAAACATCAATCAAGATAAATATTGTTTAAAATTGAAAAAAAAAAATGCGAAGAAAAATATATATATATTGAAATGTGCAGTCTTACACAAATCCAGTAATTGGATCAATTGTACGGCATGGAGTTACTTGGTTACATGCCAGTGAGGTAATCCATGTAAAACTATGTTCACAATCTCGTTCGCCAGTATATTCGGGTTGACCCAACTGAAATTGAAATCATTTTGTATATAACACAACAACCACATTTACATTCAATGTCTGAGTATACCTCAATCATCTCGTCGCATACAAAATTGATGATGGATGTAATATATTTATTGGTTGTTGCATTGCATTTCTCATCCGATGTGAATTTCATAAATAGTTTTCCATTTTCATACGTTGGATCGGTGACCGTTGTACCATAATTTTTGAAACGCTTTTTCACATCTGGTTTGGATTTATTGTCTAGACATACGCTGACATTTGGTGGACACATTTCATTGTGACCGTATAGTGTTGGTTTGCAAATATTTATGAGAAATTCGGTCTGATTTGGTCCGAGAACCTTGTGATTGTAGTCACTCAATTGCATCAAATTGAATGTGTGGTTGGTTTTTGGATCTTTTGCTGTGCATGTATTTGTACTCAATGGTCCTGACAATGGATGGCATGCATATCTTGTTCTCCAAATCACTACAAACGCACATTGGTCCTGGCTCTATTAAATTGCAGAAGAAGAAAATATGAAGCAAAACAAAAATGAAGAAAAAAAAACCGAACAATTTTTTTAAGAAATGAAAACAACGCGATTAAGAAATATTTTTTTGCGCAAATAAAATTACTGTTTCAACTTACATATGGCATCAGAATAGTTGGGCTTGAAATATGCGATGAATAATCACAAGTCGTTATAATAAGGAGACTAAATGTTTCATTTGTATCTTTATCACAAACATCACCGGTAAAATTGAAGTAGATGCGACCATTTGTGTAAATTGGTTCTGCATCAAGTTGAGTGCCTATTTTGCAAAAAAAGAAGACAAAAAAAACCACATATTGATAGAAATTGTAAACAAACACCATATATTGTTTCTATAGTTTCAAACGAGTTTAAAAAATTTACCGAATTTAAGTTGTTTGCCGTTTCGAGTAAGACATGCCGCCGATTTAGCACCCGCACATACTTTGGTCAAGTTGCCACAAACATTAAATTCAATAAAATCTTGACCTTCGCCGTTTATCCTTAAACCAAGCTCCGAATGCAGTTTGCTTAGATCGAATTGTGTTCCATATACGGGCTCGGTTAGTTTACATTGACTACCCTTGACATCACCCTGCAAAAGCAAACATACACAATCCAATAAGAATAAAAAGCGAAAGTGGAAAAAGCCACACTGCGATGGAGATGCCCAATATAATTTTAACACATTGTAATGACGTGACTTTGTTTACACATTGAAATTATATTTAGTCAGTGCTGTAGCGGTGTTTTTTGTATCGATTGTTCTACGTCAAGACAAAATAAAAAAAAAAGTCAAATGAAAATATGGAATCGCAAGACAGTGCAAGGAAAAATTACTCTTGGTCTACTACGTTGTATTATGATAGCACATTAAAATTCGATTAATTCCAATTGAATGATTTTCATCATTTGACATTTATCATTTCATTACACCACAACGCAATTTCTGCATTTCCATTTAGTCGCTGTCTTTTTTCTTTTCGCCTAGTATTGTTTATAAAAGGTGCCCGCTTATAATTTCGTTCTTGATGTCAATTGATAAGATATAAAAAAATCTCAATTGCGCAAATATGGAAAATATATTTCACATGAATTCCACACTTTTGAGAAAACACTTATGAAATTGGTTTGAATAAATGAATAATTCACCCACATTTTTCATCTTTAAATTCGGTCACATGAACTACTTTTAGTTTTGGAAAAACCGTGCCGATTCAAAAAGAAAACAAGTGGTCACGACCGACAACTTACAGAATGATCCTCATAAAATGTTACGTCAGCAATCACAATCAGTTTCAATAAAATATAACTATAAATCACACTTTTTAACATCATCTTAAAAATATAAATAGAAAAGCGCTTTCAATTGAACTAGCATTGAATCACAAAGGTTTTTCTTTGACTTGACTAATGTGTCTTGTTTTCCTATTATTATAACTGCGTTCTATTTGGCTGATTGCGACTTGTGTGTATCTTCTAGACTCTAGCACTCCTTTTGAAATGTTTGTTTTTTTCGCGTTTATTTTTTTATTTTTATTTTCACTTGAATGTATGTTATCAACTCGACTGTGAGTAAGCGCGCTCTTATATTTTGCACACACATATGTGTCACCTGTCACATCGAATTTCGGTATATATATTAAATATGTGTATAGGTTTGGAGTTGTTTTTTTTATCTTTAAACAATTGCCGCTTTCAAGCCGTTCGCTTTAACAATGTTTTCAATTTCTAACGAAATACACGAAGTGCGATATGGTTTTTGGCATGTCATTATTCTGACAGTCATTGATGAATGTTCATGTGTGACTCGCTTCATACTCAATACAAACAAACACATATTGTGCGGCGCGAATAGAACGAAACACGAACGAAAACAACAACAATAATAACTTGTAAACAAATATCAAAGGAGACTGACAATTGTGTGTAATTCAATCTTAATTACTATGATGTCTTTGACTGCGATTACAAATACTGGTTTCAATGGCACACCGAAAATGCATCCGACCAAAATAAAATCTCTTAAGCAATTATAATTTCCGAAATTGTGAAATGAAAAATCAATATAAATGCAATTTTATTCACTGAATTTCAATTTATTTTTCGCTTTATTAAACATGTATACAGCAAATCGAATTTCGAATTTTTTTTTTCTTCTTTATTTTAACCAATGAACAATAAAAACAAGCACTAAAATCAACCTTAAATGAATGTATTGTGAGTTTCAATATGGTATTTAATGTGTGCTATTTTGTTCGTGGACTTGTGCGTGGTGCACGTTTGTATACTTTTGTCGTTTGAACCATGAAACTTTTGTCACTCGGTGGAATTTCGTCGGTTGATTGAAAGCTTTGATTTGGACTGTCCACTGGTTCCGGTTTTGGTGGTTTATTCTTCTTCCGTTTTACGCTGACTACAACATTCGCATCAAAACTGATATCTAAATCCAAATTTATGTTGTACGTCTTATTAGTTGTACCTGAAAATGATCAGAAAAAGGCAATTGTATAGGATTGTTGTGTTATACCAATAGTAGGAAAGTAAAGGAGATAATTTCTGTTTACCTTTCTCTTTGTTGACATGATTGTTTACAACGACTGATGAATTTGTAGTGGTTGTTGTTCGACCCGATGACGCTTTTGTGGATCGAACTTGTGTTGATACTTTGCCTTTGTCGACCAACTTTGTGTTGGTACGTACTTTTTTCGATGGCGATGGTGAATCCTCGCTTGAGTCAATAACTACATCACGTTTACGTGAATTTTTTCCTTTTGGTGATATATTTTCGGCATTATCTAATGCTTTGGCAGCCGATTTTCCGGACGGTCGACCAACTTTTGGTCGTGATTCCTTAACAGGACTGGCCGCAGCTGCTGATGCTCTTTTAGATGCTGCTGACGATGATGATGTCTTGAATTCCAAATCACCAGTATTGGTTTTACCTAAACCGGACCGGAAAAAATGCAATTATATAGGAGTTTTGAAAGAAAAATTAATAGAAGGTCTCAATGATATAAATGTGAATATTAAGAGATGTTTTACCGAGCGTTTTTAGGCCGTCGACGAAAATTTTGCGACACTTTTCATAGTCTGGTTTTTCATCATATTTCAGTTTTGAAACGTATTTCAAATAGACAGTGATTGGTTCTGGAAATGAAATTCGAAAAAAAAATCATTAAAACTGAATTATGATAAAAAATGAATTTGTTTTTTTTTACCTGTGCATTGTTGGCTGGCAAAACAACTTTTAAGTCGTGTTTCAATGTTTGACATCAACTCTTCTTTTGCCTGTTGCACTTTAATTGGTGTTCCAAGTAATTTATTCTTTTCCCATGGTAATTCACCGCCTGCCCATTGAATCACATTGTAGGCCAGAATTTCGAAATCGCCACGCATCGTTGGAACACCCTGATTCAGAAGAAAGATCACCATGTCAAATGTAAAAGTGTTACGAAGTAGAACAAAAAATGTGTCTATTACCTGATGGGCATCGCGTGATGTATATTCGATTGTTCCGTTGTGCATTTTCTTCGGATCCGGTTTAAAATCTTTAGTTGTGAAATGTGATGCCAAACCAAAATCAACTAAATATGCTTGATGGCCACCATTCTTTCCCAAACCAAGCAGCATATTTGTGGCCTTCAAGTCCGCATGGACATAAGTGCAATCGTGAATGTATTCATACACATCGATCTATCAAGCAAAAAAAACAATATGAAAAAACTGTCAATTTGTTGGTTAGATCATTATCAATACCATTTGAATGGCCAATCGGTAGACAGTGTGCAATGGCATCTTTCGATCATTTTTCAAAAACAAACTCCATATATCTGAACCAAATCGTGGCATAACAACGAAACGATGCTTCTTCTCATTTAGATCGTGTGATCCATGTCCAACAAAATGTGGCATTCCGAGCGCTTTCAGATTTCGTTTCTTCTTGAATGCTTCGACTGTAAATCAGAATAATTTTTTACATTTTTTGCTATTTTTTTAAATTATATAAATCAAATCTTACTGTCTGCTGGTTTTGCGTTGCGCATATAGAAATGCATTTCAACAAAGAGTGGCCCATTTCCATGTGGTTCCTATAAATTCGATATAGTTTTATAAAAAAATTCCAATAATTTAATTTTTCAGCCAATTCAATGCATACCACTTTAACAACATATTGATAATCTTCATATTTTTTAGTTGATTCATTGGCTTTGCAAGCACAATAAATTTCACCAAAACCACCGACACCAATTGACGGTCCAATTTTCCATTGTTGCTTCGATAAATCGGTAAAAACCATTCCCAGTGGAATGCTCTCAGGCATTTGGTATGCATTCGCTTTTCGTTTAACGGCTGGTTTTTTATTTGGCGCCTTTGACGCTGTTGTCGCTTTTGATGTAGATGCCTTTGGCATTATTGTCTATATATATGCTATAACAACTCTTGAAAATGAAAATCATCAACCAAACAACCAACGAAATGATTAACTATTTGAATAGCAAATGGCACAAGAAATATAACGATATTATTGATAATTGAATGCACACAAACAAAACAAAATTTTCAAAACAATTTTTTATGAAATTAAAACGTTTGAATCATATTTTGGTTGATGATCTTATTTTAACCGTATGAATATGAATAGCTTGACATAAATGCCGCTCAATGCTGTATAATGTCAATGCAGAATACAATCGAAAAAATACACCAATGGATGCGTTTAGTTCGCGCCAAAATTATACGTTAAATATTGTGCAATCGACATTTAGTTCAGGAATTTTTCAACGAATTTTGTTGGATATTTGTTGTTTTTTCTAACAAATATTTACTAATAGATACTTTAATGTCAGTATATGCATTGAAAATTAATTTAAATAGATTAATTGGTTGTTTTTCGAAGTCTAGGTCAACAATAAAATGACAACCTAAAAATAAAAACAAAACGGCTGTACTTCATGAATATTTTAACGCATTAAGAATATTTGATTTTTTTTTAAATAAAATTTATTTTTTCCTTTGTCCTATAGATAATTCAATACAACCAAGTACCAAACAATAAAATATTAAACAAATCTAGTTGTTCTAAAGTATATCGAATCTCATACGAACGATTCCTGTACATTACAAACTCAATTTATAATCACATATAATTTGAAAAAGCAGAAAAAGGAGGGCGTATCTGCGTATAATATGCGATTATAAAAAAAAGAATTATGAATATTTTCTTTTTTCGTGACAAAATTACTCATTCTATTTGAATTGCATAATCTTATGAAATAGAAAAAAAAATCCAAATTGATTTCAAAGGATGTCATAAATAACGATAAAAGATTCAACTCATAGATGTGCTATGTTGTTCGACTGTCGACATTGAATGCATTCATCGGATTGTTTTCTTTCGTCTCGTTTGTTTTTACGTTCGTTGCCAACTGAATAATGACGAAATGCCATATGTATCAGACAACACTAATAAGCAAATGTATTTTCGCGGCATCATCTTTTTCAGTGCTTGGGCTTTTTTTCACTTCTATTTAGAACTCGGCAGCGAACAGACTGAAACGCTTTGAGTGTGTGCGATACGAAAATTATATTGTGTGTATATTTTTGGCGAAACAAAATACAGATTTGTAATTTTCTGTGAAACTAATTGAAAGTTATTTCGTTCGAACGTTTTGTAAATCGAGAAAAATTGTAAAAAACTAAAAATGGTAAGTGAATTTTGTTTGGATTCTATTGAATATTTTGGTAATTTATATTTATCGGGAAATGGAAAGCAAGAAGAAGAAAAAAAATGCGCGAAATTGATTTTGTTGGTATAGAATATGAGGGGAATAGATAAAAAAATGAAAAATATATTAATTCGATAGAAATTTTGTGTTTCATTCTAATTGCTAATTGCGCTCCAAAACCGATATGTGTACTCTTAACCTTAATTTACCGCAAAACGGGAAATATTTTTTCTTCGTTGGTATCGAAGGGGCTTGGTAGTAATCATTGAATTGAGTGTGTGTTTATTTAAACGGAGTGTTTCTTCTTTTCAGGCTGGTGGTAAAGCTGGTAAAGATTCAGGAAAATCGAAAGCAAAGGCCGTCTCACGCTCAGCACGTGCAGGACTTCAGGTAATAGTTGCACAATTTTTTGAAAAATTGAGTGAGAAAAGATGATCAATTTTTTTTTATCATACTTTGAGCGCTAATTTCGATTACAACAACAATTTTTTTTTCTCCAATGTTATTATATTTTTGGCGCTCTGTCATATTGTCGCTAGTGCTTACGCTACCATTTTTTGTTGTTGTTTTTTTTTAATTCTACATTTGTGTTTGTATATCAACATATATATACATATTTTTATATATATATGCTCTTTTTTTTTTGCGCTATAGTTCCCTGTCGGAAGAATTCACCGGCATTTAAAAAATCGCACAACCAGCCATGGTCGTGTTGGTGCCACCGCCGCCGTTTACAGTGCCGCTATTTTGGAATATTTAACAGCCGAAGTGAGTAACATTTACAAAGCATTTCTACATCTTAATATTCATAAAAGGTTCAATTGTGCGTTCATAATGGTGTTGATTGCCGCCATTTTGTTTCTTTTTTTTTTAACGATTTGTTTGTGTTTTGTGTGCGCGTTCTTCATAAATTTTTCGGATCGATTCAGTTATTTGTGCCAATTTTATTTACATTACATGTATCGTAGAAAATGTTATCATTCGGGGAAATTGTAATAAACATGGTTCGGTTGTGTGTGTGTGCTTTTTTTTTTGTTTGTCCGTTTTCTCTTCCTTCAATCGCGCGCGCGTGGCATTCTATTCTCTAAATGCATTCATTTTGAGACGTTTTGAGTGTTAAAGCGAAGCGAAGCGATTTGATGTTGTGTGTGAGAAAAAGAGATGCACAAAAACCGTTGGTTCCATTTTCAAATGATTTGGCGTTGTTTTGCTATCCTCTACTCACCCTTCGTCCAAGCGTAAACGAAGTGCGTTACTTTGTTATGTATTCTATGCATGTGTGTGCACGCTCAGGCAATAGAGAATGATGTAAAAGTATGTATGTGTGTGTGTGTACAGTCGCTGTATTGAAATTGTATACGGCTTGCAAGCAATATGTGCTTGTGTAAACTAAGTGCATTTTGCCGCCAAACAATAGTGCTATCGTTCTATCTCCTTCTCACTATCGTCGAATAACACTTTATTTTAAATCGCAATACATGCGTCTGTGCGTGCTCATTGCATCGTTTCAGTAGTTATGTTGCTCATTTTTAATCATTTTGTTTGTTATTTTATAGTTTCTCATAGAGCTAAGAAACGATTCGATAAGGCGGCTTTCAAACAATTTTATGACCATATCGACCGAACTTTAAATAAACGAATTTTAACGGTTTTTTTTTCTCTCCTCTTGATTACGTGTGCCCTTCTAGGTATTGGAATTGGCTGGTAATGCCTCAAAAGATTTGAAGGTAAAGCGTATCACCCCACGTCATTTGCAGTTGGCCATCCGTGGTGACGAAGAATTGGACAGTTTAATCAAAGCAACTATTGCTGGTGGTGGTGTCATTCCACACATCCACAAATCACTCATCGGCAAGAAGGGAGGCCCAGAATAACCAAATTAATCATAATCGACGAATCCCATTACAAACAAACATCCAGAATAATTTCTTTTTTTTTTTTAAATAATTCTACTGCAGAGAAATCACTTAATCGTAGCATTTAAAGAAAACAAAACAACCAACAACTGTTTCATCTTCTGAATCAAATAATTTATTCATTTTTTTTAACGATGATGAGAATCATGAGTCACATTCATTTCAAATTCAAATCAAACAAACAATAACAAAACATTTCTTTTTCTTTTTCAATAGACTTTTCAAAATTCCACTTTTCATATATATAGAAAAAGACAGGCCAGACAAACAACAAACAAAAGAAAAAAAAAAAGAAAGAAAAATAATAATTTTAATAATAATAATAACAAGTGTGTTCTTAGGAAAGGGTTTTCTATTACAGACAATTTTACAAAAAGAAATTTGTTTTCTTACCACATTCTTAAGTTTAATTGCGGAAGAAGTTTTTGATAATTTTCATTATCGACGATTTGTCAGAGAAATTGTTCCCCCATTAGAATCATAAGACATTTAACAATCATTTTTTTTTGCTGTTTTTGAGAAATTAAATGAATAAATAAAAAACTGTTTAATCGTAATTAAATATAGAAAACAAATAAAGAACGGAATGAAAAAAGCGAAACAAAAAAAAAACCTCTACACAATATTAATGTTAAAACATCCGAAAATTCTCTTCAAGACAAGTAAACAACAATCAACAAAATGGTAAATAAAGGCTAATTAATATTGTAATTTGAATACAATAATAGTTCAAATGGTAATTGAATAAATGCGAAGAGAAATTACTGAGAATTAAATAATACACAAGAAAAAAACGTACTGATTTAAATGAAGGAAACAAACAAACTAATAAAGAAAACACACATAATGAAATGGAAAAACAATCGATACACGAGTAGTTCTGATATCGCAACATTCATCTCTTAGATTTAGGGAAAATTTAGCAAATTAAAAAAAAACAAACGATTTTCAGTAATGTCTTGTTTAAAGTTGTGTTAAACTTGTGTGTGCTAATAAAAATACAAAACGAACACTTTTGGCTTAAAGTTATTTTCCAAATCGTACTAATTCGTACAGGCTAATGGGAATTGACACCAAGATGGTAAAATAAATGTGTTTAGGTAAAAAAAGTTTTATAATCAACTTAATCCATTCATTTACTGGATTCCATTTACTCGATGAAAAACAAACAAAGAATTCAACTAATTTATTTATTCGAGTTTATTTAACGAAAATTTATTTAGTTTTTTGGCATATTTGTGTTTGGCATTCACACACATTAAATGTGTTTTGACATGCATCGATGCATTGTCATTTCAACAATGCGTGTATTGAGTATTTATTCGTTGACTTTGCTAATCTCCTCACAACGATACTCCATATCACCCTGAAATTGAAACAATTAAATTCCATCAGTTGATCAAAATAGACATTTATCATTCAATTGATTGTGTGTACCTCGTCTAATTCCAAGCATTTTCCCCATTCTTGAAGCGAAATACGATGATTACCTATCAAAACCAAAAAATTAGTGAGTTGAAAGTTAAAGATTTAAGAAACATGTATACCATCGGGATCACATGACTCCAAAAACGGTGCAATACAATGTTCGAGTGACATCAATGGTGCTCGGATTGGGAACAATTCGTGTAATGACACTGATCGATCATGTGGATGACCATCCAAATCACACCATTTCCAAATAGCAGCATTCACCTTTGGTACGATTATAATGATGAAAATAATGTTAATCAAAGTTTAAAAAGATCTGAATTTACCCATCGACGTGTCATATTGGTTTCAGCTTCGGTTTGTAAAGTTTTGTACTGTGATGGGAATTCATCATTTTGTGCTAAATCATTCATTATGTTGAACAGCCAATCGCGCATACGTCTTGGAAAGTCGCTCATTTCTTCATCAGTACATGTCTGGCAAATTAAAAACATATATACAGTTCATTTGACGTGATTCAACATCATGTTCAGGACTATTTTACCGGAATTTCTTTGCACTCGCCGTAGTAGCTAATATGAATGTGTTTCATTTCAGCCGATTTACAACGTGAATCGTCTGTATCGCAGAGACAACGTTCACGATGGACCTCACAGTCTGAGTTCCATGTTTGATTATGATTTGAGCAGACCATTCGTCGTGGATCAGATTGTTGTGGACATTCTGGAATGCATACACATTTGGCAGTGGTATCTTCGGCTTGACAAACTCTTCCTGCACCACAATGGATTTTTGCGCATGGATCAACTGCAGCAAAATAAAAAAAATGCAAACATAATTCAAGGGATTAAGGTTGATCATTTTTGAAGATTTTCTTTTTTGTTCAAACATTTCTTTAAAAAACACAAATTATAATTTTTTTTTAAATTTTAATTCATAATTTGAGTTTTCAAAATGATCTGTACAAAAAATTGGCCAAAAACAATTGTTAGAAATGGCCACAATTATCATTGACATACGTAGGACTGGTGCGTGATTTTCAATCATTTGAGATGCAAGATCTGCAGCAATTTCAGCAGCCTTTTGGTTCTCGCGTGCCAAATCTTTATGCTGAAAAAGACCAAAAATTATTTTCATTCATTCTTCGCACTTTGTTTTATCTTTTGAACATCATTAAAAGTTGTAACCAATTTGGGTAACTTCTGAGGATTTTTTAACAATGCTGTAATTTGAACTTGTGGGTTTTCACTTTAAAGATTTGAAATAAAATGTGCCACCGCAATTTGCGTTTTCAAAGCGAAAGTCCATGCAAAAAGTTCAAATTATTGCACATTGTCATAAAAATCTCAGAAGTCACCTAAAATGGCCAGCTCTAGTACCTGTTGTTCTTCTTCCAATTCACGTAAAAGTTCTTCGTCACGCTCCAAATCTTCTAAATCATCTTGAGCTAAGTCATCATCCAAGTTGTCAAGCTAAAGATCAAAAAATGAAAATCTTAAAAATAATCATTTGTTGATTTGCCACATTGAAATAATAATATTTAAACGAAAATTACATCGTCTTTGGCAAAAGCTAGAGTTGCACAGAGCAACAAAGCAATCAGTTGAAAATATTTCAACTTCATAGTATCCGCGTTGCGAAATATCCTGTAGAAATAGAGAAACAAATATTATTTACATATAAAAGAGCGAAAAATAAAGCATTTCGTGTTTACAAAACTGGGCTAATGTAATATTTCTTAAGATAAAATTGCGATGAGGAATGTTTCTGTTCTCCGGTGCAATGTACAATTCCGCCAAAATTCCATATTATATACGATACACGTACGAAAAAAAACTGACTGCGAATACGTAGGCCCAGGGATATAAAACAACAGTCTTTAACACATAACAGAATACGACGTAGAAAACATCCGGTCCAGATTTCAATTGTGCATATATATTTATGTTGTTATACTAAAACCACAGCAAAACTTTACAACACTGATCGTCCACATTATCTGATTAGCACAATTTATATGCATATCCTCAGCGTAAACGCGCGCGTGCTTTATTGAAAACAATGAAGCGTGCAATATTTTGATTGTGTTCATTGTGATGCGTTTATGCAGACAATCAAACGCATGAAAATGACTCTTTTCTTAATCGCTGATATAAATAAAGCGCTTCAAAATATAGAGCAATTTCAATTCATTTTTCGCGAGAAATTCATATATTCTCTTGCAAGCAATTTGTTCGTATATATAAGTAAATCTGTAAATTATGCAGAGTGCATTAAATTTACGAGCGAACGAAACAATGTATTCATTTCGGTCTTTTCCATTTCAAAGCGGCGGCAACAACGACAGAAGATGAGTTTTTTTAGTTCATTCGGAAAATATCAGTTTGTATGAAATGAATAATTTTGAATTTATCGCCAGTTTTATGAGACCAAATTCTGAGTACAAGTAGCACACACAAATACACACTAAATTCAATGAAAATTAAAATGTGCTCGACTGCAATCAGCACAATTTTATATTCAAAATGCACATTGTAAATGTGAGCGCTGTTCTTTGTCGAATATGAAGACGGAATGGCAATTCATACACATCGTAGGTGGCTCCAATTTCGGAAATCATCATTTTTTTTTTCTTTTTGAAAAAAGCAACACACATGTTCTTGCGGCTCGATCATATTCGCAATCGTATGCATGCAATGAACAACATATTCTCAATTTTTGTTGCCGTTCATTGCAACTGAAAATAGAATTTTCAGAAAACAAAACATTGGATGAGGTTTTATTTTACGTTTAATCGGACCAAAATTTTGCTGTCAACTATCAAATCACTAGCACCATGACGAAACTCAGTCTATTCTAAGTTGCCGCCAACTAGTGGAAATACGTTTGCTCGGTTGAATACTACCGACAAGAACTCCATAGTCATCCGTAGTGGCGCTAGCTGCGTTACAATTTTGTATTTTATACAGTCTCTTATGTGAGTGATGCAGTGCGCATTTAATTTGAACTCATTGCTTGAGAATCTTCCTTTTGCAAAAAAAAAATTATTAAAATGAAAAAAAAAACTGGATTTGGCCTAAAACCTTTTCTAAGCTTATCAGTTTAGATGAAATTTCAGAACATTGATTAAAAATTTGACCAAAACACATTTGGTCAAGGTTATTATAACTGTTTTGATCATGGAAATAGTGATAATTTCAGATTTTTGGCCACTATTCAGAAGAACATAAAATAAGAATAATATTAAATAGAATCAAATGCCCAAAATTGAATTTCAAGTGTTTTGTCCAATAAAAAAATTTCGGTCATTTTTTTTTATAGGAAAATTGATAACATTCGACCTCAGCTTATTCGAATTTCGAATATTTATTGTAACGTTTGCCTTTATCAATTATAGTGCGGAGTACTAGAAACATACCACAAAATTTGAATCTATGAATTAATTCAAAAAGTTTAAAATTTCAATTCATACCTTTGGTCAGCGAGAAAAAAAAACTTGTTAATTTAACCCTTTTGTTCTCGATTTATTTTCAGTTCACTTTTGTGAAATATATGTTCTGAAATGTACGTCCACTCAGCACTAAGTAACACGATCAACTGATTTAGAGGAAGCAGATATGCCTTCCGTCTGCTGTTAAGAAATCGCGCGCGGTCGCGACTTCGTGTCCGTTTTTTTTTGTTCTTCTATTTCTTTCGGTTGGGTTTCTTTCCTGTTTCGATTTTATTTCTAATTCATACATAAGTTGAAGTCGCTGCGTTAAACTTTACGTTCACTGAATCATGTTCACGCGATATTTCTTCTGATAATGCATCCAAAGACACTGTATGTATCAACTCACTTCGTGAGATGAATTTCAATCAATTTCGTGCTCTTTAAAATGCAAAAAAAAAATCGGTAAATTTTAGGCCAAAAACCGCTTGTGGTAAGAATAAAATATTTAGGTTTTTTTTTTAAATTTTCCTTTATTGATTGTTATTTTATTTGAATTTGTAAAAAGGATCCTTGAGCTATAGACATGCACCCGGAATTGTGATTGGTAACAAAAAAACCACGTTATGTAAAAGGAAATTTATTTCAAAACATTTCTTTTTTTATGAACACATTTGTTTGTTTCGAATAATAATTTTCGTTTGGATGTTTTCTCTTCCCTTTTGCAGCATTTCATTTTCTGAATTGTAAACTATCGACAAACTATTCTATCTTGGCCTTGATTCGTTTCGCTTATCATGTTGCATATGTATGTTGTTTACGTTTTTACTTTGGCTTACTAACATTTGTTACATGCTTTTGTTCATTAAATTTCATGTTGGTTCTTTGCTTCGGACTGACCGAAAAAGCAATTGATATCAATATTATTTTTGTATTTCGCAGTTTGTGATTTTTGTCAAAAAGTTAAGTCAATTTGCTCTATTTTTATTCATCAAAGAAGCGTAAAAAAAGATTCCAAATCCTGTACATATTGTGATAACTTGAATATAGCTCTAGAATCATTTGTTCTTCTTCTAAATTTGAGCTATGAATGTAGAAAATTCAAGAACAGCACATGAAATCCAATTTCAGTTTCAGTACACAAACCGGAAAAGTGAACTCCTTGATAAAACTACTTAAAAAAAAAGAAAAACAAATCCGCAAGTGATTTCTTTGCTCAAAAAATATTGAATTTTTCAATGAAAAGAAATGATCGGGTCAAAATGAAAAATGAAAAATTTCGTAAATGTATTTTGGCACATTCAAATATGAACCAGAGCCAATTCAACGATTTAAACGAATTCTGATACACCTTAGAAACAAAAACAATAAGTTTTTGTGTTAATGGACCAAATTTAATGTGAATGTTCTAATATTTCAAAGGTCACATTTCAAATGTTTCCATATGCAATACTCACACAAGTTGAAGTCATTTAAAGCGATAAAAAAAAAGAAATGATAAATTTTCTATAAATGCATCCGTCATGAGATGAATTTCGCTTGCGTATTCTTTCAAATGGTAAAAATTCCGTAACGATAAAAACGTCAAGTCGCTCTCGGCCACAAAACCATCATCGATTCTCTGCTAAAGGTATCATGATGTCTTGTCCTTTTGGATTGCTACAAAGAATGTATAAAGATAATAAATATCCTATAGCATTAAATAGCTGCTACATGTATAAAATAATGCAAAATTAAACGTTGTGTGAAATTTGAAAATTTATTTCAAGAATTTTGATATATCTCGTCTGATCGATTGTGAATTCGGTCTTTTGGTAAGCAGTTTCGAGTGTTTTTTGGATCTTATTTTAATTTATTTTTTGTGTGTGTGTGTGTGCGTTTTAATGTTTTTTTCTTCTTCTTTGAATGTTTTTAGGTCGACATCAATTTTCTGTCTGTACATTTTCAATTGAATTTTATGAAATGAAATCAGGACACACTTTGGCTTCGATTCGTTTATTTTGTCTATATGTGATGTTTATCAACAAATCAAGGCAAAAGTATAGTAATTATAGATTTTATTTTCGTTCATTAGATAAGTATTTGGCGTTTTTTTCATTCAAAATTCAATCAAGAGAAGATTTTGAAGTCTTATAAAAAAACAAAACTGTACGTAACCTGATTATCAGTCTCGCAATCATTTTTTTTTCTCAGTGTCTCATAAGCAATGAAATCAAATTTCGTTTTTTTATAAATCGGAAAAAATAAATTCTTGCGTTGTTGCAGTGCCACTGTGAAGTGGTAATAATTTAAATACATCATTACATAACATATAGGTATCTTTAAAACAAAAAAAAAACTTTAAGAGCGCCATCCCATTTTGTTGACTATTCTTTTTTTCGTTTGTTTTTATTACATCAACCAAAATTCATATAACAATTACTTTTTAAAAAAATCTACTTAAATCAGAAAGAAAACAAAATTAATACACAGATTCAGAATGATTGCACATTGTGAAACAAAAAATCCGTTTCTAAGTTAAACAACTCGTTTATCACAGCTCCTGTTTAATTCGGATATTGATTTAAATTAGAAGCGATCTTTAAAAATCATTCAGTTACGGGATTTTAATGCGCATTATTGACATAATAACCTGAATAACGTTTCGCAAATTGTATTTTTAGAAAAATTCCATTTTTCTTCGGCCCATCTGGAAATATTCATTTATATGCATTTTTGATACTTCCTTTTTTAACTATAATACATATGAATCGATTAGAATATTCGTGAGCTCAGGAAATTTGTTGCAGTTTAATTTTGACAAATTTCTTGAGGTCAAAAATATTCTAGTTGGTTCATATAGTAGTATTTATATGTTATTTTCTTTTGATATTCAAATATTTGAAGCGAAAGAAGAGGCAAAGTGCGTCAAGTCAGTCTGACATTTGAACCAGACAATATATTGAACTAACTGGTCAGTTGAGCTGACAGTACGTTAGCCAGCTAAATGAGCTGGCTGGTTCTGATTTGAAAAATTGCAACAATTTCAAATTTATAAAATTTTAGAGAACGAGAGCAGACATTATATTGAGATATTCAGCCAGATGAATAAGCTCGGCCAGATATTGTCAGGAGCTAAAATTGAGTGAAAAAAATTGAAGTGAATTGTTATAATTACAATTACATTGCTACAATCACTATAAAAATCACTCCAGTATTGTTTTCACTCCATTTTAGCGCCTGACGATATCTGGCTGAGCCGATTCATTTGGATGCAAATATCCCAATATAATGTCTGAGAGAAAGAGATAGAGAGATATTCCATTGATTTTTGCTATCATCGTTTTACGCGTTATCACCAATTTCTCAACGGTTCTGTATTTGGAAGAAGAACATGTGTTTGTCAAACATTTGAAATTGTATACAGTTCGTTTTTATTACTATTTCGTTCGTATGCAATGAAAATTTAATACTTATTCGTTTGTTCGTTCGTTCATAGCGATTTTTTAATGTTCGTTTTGTATAAAGTGAAATGTAATTAAATTTTCGGTTGTAAATGTATTTGGTTCGGGAATTCATAAAAAATCAGCAAAAAAACTCTATGAATGAACGAAAAACCAAATGAAAAAAATATTCCATTTGTAATGTCTACGAACAAACAAATGTTGTTCACACCAAACACTATTCGAAAGTGCTATACATTTATGTCCGAATGAATCAAAAAAGGTTGCCACAATACAAACGCGAACCTCCGTCAGCGGAAGCAGAAGCGATCGATTTTGATTTCACTGATTTTTGTTGTTGTTGATGTTGTCAGGCAAAAAATGAAGTAAATTATTTGTTAATAGAGTTTTTTTGTTCGTTTCTTTTTTTTTCGCAGTTAGAATTGTCTACATTCATTTAAAAAAGTTATGCTAAGTTATTGGCCTGTGTTTAGGAATTTTACATAATTGATGTTTTTTGTTTTAAATTTTTTTTGTTGCTCAACTAACTACTTACTGTAACATTTTTTTCTCATTGTATTGAGTTTATGTATCAAAAACATTGATTGCTTATGAATAGTTGCCCGGATTAATTGTTGATGTTTTGCTTTATTTTCGGGACATTCTTTAAGCTCAAAATCATGAATGGGAAATTCATATAAGTATGTCGGTGAAGGAGTTGGTTGCTCCAAAACAAAGCAAATATCAACAATCGTACATATGTCACGTATGTTTTATGGCAAATATTCATATGAAATCTGTGCTTTCAACTGCCATTTCTATGGTTTCAATTAAATATAAAATGAATTTTTGGCATATTTTGAATTCATTTGCAAATTTTGCAAACTCGAAAAGATTTCCATGATAAATCTCATGAAACTTTTTACCGCACGAAAGTGAATTGTTAGAAAGAAACTCGAGACTTTGCGATAGAATTTTTGTCATTTATTTGTTTCTTCTTGAATTAAAATTAAAAGAAAAAATCGTTTGATTGTTAACTGAAAGAAAAATAAAAAAAAACGGTGTAAAAAAATCAAAAACTTTTTCAACATAAAATTCAAAACAAAAAGATAAATTTATTAAAAATTAAAAATGTTTCTCTTTTTTTTCTTCTTCTTCGTATTTTGTTTAACAAAATCTCTGCCTAAGAATGTGTATTTTGTATATATATTCCGCACAACACGGAGATATAATAAACATCGACTTTCTATTTCGTTTTAATAAAATTGTCTATTCAAAAAAGAGTGTGTATGAAGTTTTTTTTCTATTTTTTACTTCTTGTTTTTCATTTTGTTGGATGCGGAGTTTTTATTTTCATTATTATTGTATGTTTTTTCTTTTAAATGTAGAGTTATGTATGTGTTTTTCAGTGTAAGTACAGTCGCGTATTAGTTTTCTTTTTTTTTCTTGCATTTTTTTTTCTAGTAATTTGACTGCGAAATATGACTTTAGAGTAGAATGTAATTCGAATATGGTTGCGATTTGCATTGAGAGTGTTTATTTGTTTTGTGTGTGTGTGAATGTGTTTGTGTGTATGATTGGTTTTTATTCACTAAATTTATTTGATAATGGGTTTTTATGTGTCTTTTTGAGTTTTTCTTGTCCTATTTTTCTTATCGACTTGCTGGAAACGCATGGTATTGCAAGTGCAATAATGTAGACAGTATTTAAATTACCATCCTCTCCCGAAAAGAGATATCCACTCGGCATTACCCATGGACTCAGCAGCTCAACAATCTTTTTTTTCTCTTTACAGTTGTAGTTTTTTTTTTTGTTTTCACTTTTATTATTAATATAATAATGTTTTCATTACTTGTTCTTGTTGTTGTACAAAAGAAATCACATATAATCTATTTCTTCAAAAAAAAAAAAACATTTTTTCTTTGAATTATGTTTCACATTTTATTTATGTGATTTTAATCGTTTTCAAAATTCGATTCGAAATAAATCAAAATCTCTATATTTTTAAAGCCTTTGATTATATTCTTCTTCATCTTTTTCTACTACATTTATGTTTTGTTATTAATTTTCATCAACACAAAAACCAAATAATGATTTAAGTTTAGTTTTATTACATAGTTGCTAGTTATTAGTCTCTCCAATTGATGTCTCTTGTAAAAAAATGTTCGCTTGTTCTAATTTCTTTTTTCAGATCGATTTGCGATTCATTGCTATTAATTGAATAATATAAAGTAGATCTTAAATTTCTTTTATCGCCTACGGAAACTTCATTCAGTTCAATAGAACAAATTTATGAATTTTGTTTTTTAATTATTTTTTTTTTTTTTGTAGCTGTCTTTCGGATACATTTTCACCTGAATCATGCAACGATCTATCGCGTTCGGCTGTTTTTTTTTATTAATTCACGTGGTTTATACGAGACACAACATGTTTTCTATAGATTTTTTTTACAAGTCTTTATTTGTTTTTTATTTTTTAGTTTTATTCATTATTATTACTTTCCATTCCTAGTTGTGTGTGTTTTAACTTAAAATTGTTTAAATCATGAAATCATCATTTCTTTTTATTATTTAGGACATGATTCATTTCCTGATTATTGTTTGAACTATGTCTCTTATTTTAGATATTTTAAATGAGATTGAGAGAGATAAGAAAGTGAGAAAAGAAAAAAATAATTAGTTAAAAAAATGCTTAACAAAAAAACAGAAAGAGACTAAAAAAGTGCATCGTTTACAGCATTTTAAATTCACTTTAGAGACAATGACTCAAAGTATTTTCTATCGAATCGAGCGTACAGAGGCCAGCCAAGTACGTGTTTTTTTTGTATTGTGACTGTATGTATTTGAATGTTAATATCTTCAATCTTTCTTCTTCTAAAATTTGATGAAACTAAAATTTACATCCAGAACTAGATTTCCTAGTGGGTATTGATTGGCATTGTTATTACTTTTATCTCAACTTTTGTTTTGCATTGAACCCTATAGTTTTCTTAACTGCTTTTTATCTCCTTCTTCTTCGTCTCGTGAATGATTTTTTTTTAAATTTCGATTTTAGTTGTCTGCCTAAGTTTTGATTCCTTTTTTTCTGTCTGTCTGTGTTCATGTGTGTATGTATGTTTGTTTGTTTTTATTTCATTCATTTCTTTGGAGTTTGTTTTTGTTTCTTGAGTAATGCATATCATCACCAGATCCTTAATTTTATACAATAGTAAGTAGGCTGCTTTCAAAACAAATAAAAAGAAATGAAAATAACATGCGTTTTTCTAGATTTATGTACTTTGTTTTCTTTTTTTGTTTGTTTGGTTGATGTGTTTTCTCTTTATGTTAATTGCAATGTTTTTGTTTTGTTTTGTTTACTAGTTTAAAAAAAAGTATAAGAAAATTAAAATAGAATCTGGTATTTGCGAAGAACACGTAATGCGCTTAAAACACAGAATGTGTTTTACAAAAAGAACAAAAAAAAACATTTGTTGTAAGTGTGTGTGTGTGTGTGTGTGTGTGTGTATCATTATGTACAAAATCTTCGCATGCATTATTTCCTTGGAGCGTTCTAGCGACGTTCGTAGCCACCATTACCAGCTGATGCCGAATTTGATGGGTTGTTATTTCCTCGTGGGCCTTGTTGTCTGTCATTACGATTGAATGGACGATTTCCACCTCCCGGTCGTGCATTTGATGTGCGATTTAAGCCACCAATACCTCGATCGCGATCGCCACTGTTTCTTTGACCACCCGAAATGGTTCGGCCGAGACCACGGTCATTTCGGTCACGGTCATTACGATCAACGTTGTTTGAATTTTCATTACGCATGCGAGCTTTCTTCTCTTCAACATTCAATTTTTGGCCATCAGGAGAATTTTCAGGATAGAACAGAGGCTGCGCATCGAATTAAAAAAAAAAACAACAACATTGAAATAATATAGATTGGCAAACAAAAGAAATAAAGTCGTATACACTTACCATGTTCGATAAGCAATTTTGAACGGATTTTGGATCCTCATAGGTAATGAAACCGTAATTTTGTGGAGCACGTACGCCGGGTATTTTTGGTCCTGGTTTCGAATGAATTCTTAAATCGACAACCGTTCCAAAACGTCCGAACATGACTTTTAACTCATCTTCTGTTGCATGATGAGGTACATTTCCTAAGAATAGCTGGTGGTTGTCACTGAATTGATTTGCATTGCTCGATCTTCGCTCTATCGAAATAATTTAATAAAAAATTAAAATTAAATCGAAAAAATTCCATTTTTGTAGAACTAGGCACTTATAATGAATATATGCACAAAAAAAGAAACACATTTGTATGTTCTACTAACCTCTAATTGGGCCAGTTCGTGCAGATTGTGACCGTGAGTTCAAGGTGTTTGCTGTGTTTTGTGTTCGTCCCGAATTTGCCGATGCTGATGATACAAAGTTGATGCCACTGCTGAAGTTGTCCGATTTGAAGAACTGGGCGTATGTCTTTGGCTCATTCTGGATTGATTTTGACACTTCATCAGCATCTAATCAAAATCAAAAATAAACATTTGCTTAGCATCTTCATAAGCACTTGATCTCTCTTTCTCTCCCTCTGTGTACTTACTGGTATGATTATCGTTGATGTTATTTTGTTCACTCTGAATACCGGCCAATTCATCCTTTGATTCAATATCGGATGTGGTCTGTGCACTCATATCGTTTTGCTGATCGATTTCATTTTGCAATGCGGGTGTTGAAACATTTTCCAAATCGTTCACCGTGGCATTTGGATTACCAGTCACATTAGCCAATTGATCAACCGGGATAATTTGCTGTTGAGCCGACAATGATTGCGATTGGATTTGCAATGGTGTATGAGCTACAAAGCCAAAATCAAATCAATATAAACAAACACTATGGTTGTTGCGACGGATACGGTTGGATTTTAAATTAAAGTAAAGACATTGTTTGCTTACCACCGGTACTGTTGTTAACATTGTTAACGGCAATGTTGTTGTTCGATGGTGTTAAAGTTTGAAGAATCTCGTCGTGCTGAACGACACCGTTCAATTGAGCAGCTGGTTGTGGTTGCTGTTGATAAGATTGAACGTTTCCCAATGGATAGTAAATTGGTTGTTGCGACTGCTGTTGCTATATATATACACAATATTTTCACAAGAACAATTACAATCACAATATTGACGACAATACTACCGAACCATAAAACTATACATATATATGAAGTGTAAAATGTCATTTCTCTTTGAAACCATGATGTATGAGAGTGCAGTTGAGGACAGTGAGGAAGGAGAATTTTGAGGTTAATTTTTCAAAGAGTCATGGTTCGATTTTACCATGAACACCTTTTATTCACAGTAAAATGATATTTTACACTCATTTCTCTGAGTTGAACCAGCATCGATTGCAAAAACAACAAATATAAATAAAAAAGTGGCAATAAAAAAAACTCTTCAAGGTAACATATTTCAATTGAATCCATTCTCAAAATGGCCCCTCATATTTTTTGTGTTTTCCTTTTTTCATGTTTTTCTTTCAAACATGAACTTAAAAATTGACAAATTAAGAAAAGAACAAACTTTATTCATATAAGGAATGCTCTATAATAAAATTGACGAAAAAAACATCATCGACAATAAAATGCACTTTTTTACTCTAAAGCATATTATGCTACAACATGTAAATTCAATATAAATCATACCTGGTTTTCAACGACCAAACCAGTGGCGGTGTCCTGGTCTTGTTCATCGTCATTTTCCGATCGGCTTTCGGCCTCGACTTCATCATCTGATATGAGATCTTGATAGCGAAAAATGTCATTATGAACGTAGTACTTTTTGGGCGATTGAGCTGCCAACACAAAGGTTTGAGTAAAGCGCCGCATTGGTTCTCCATTGTTCGACAATTCACCGGTTACTTGAACGACAACCCCACCGCCAAGAGTCGATTGAGCATCAACCTGACTGATTTTGGCGTGGCAATCCCGAAATCGTAGCTGCTGAATTTTATTATAAATTTGCTTTTGGCCAATAACCATTGTTGCCTCACGATTGTGTGGATCGAGACCGCCATGAACGAAGCTCGAATTATTGTTATAAAAACGATGAAGATGGTCGGGTGCTTTGTTTAACAGGGTGTAGTATTGACGGACGAACTCTCGACCAACCGATTGTGGTGATGGTACAGCTTCCATGATCATTTCTTTTTGCCAGTAACACGTTTTATGTGAGAATGTGTGGATGTGAATTAAGTCGTGAAGATTAAGTTACACGGTTTATCTGCAATAAATATGGATTTATATTTTCTGTATAGAATAAAGACCGATATCCTTATCCAAAGATTGAATATAATTAATGGGAAGGTGCTTTTTGATTATTTCTATTTTTCCATTGTACAAAAACATTCAAAATACAAAAAAAAAATTAAAATAAAGTCTCTAATCGATTTTTCCGATCGAAAACTTTTTTACTGGTGTGAAGTTTAACTGCTTCTAAATGAGCATTGCCGAATCCAATATTTTTATTGCCGAAATACTGGCAACAATTTTATGAAGAAATAAAATATTTTTTTTTGTACATTTTTGAAAACGTATGGATTTTTCATGGCATTTCACCACTGTTGTAATCGGACTAAAACAAAAATGTGCTGTATCTGAATATTATTTCATTTTTTTGTTGTATCTTGATGCGTAGTTTGATTTTGGGTATTTTTTCGTGTGCTTCTCGTTTGGTGGTGTAAAATGAACATATACAATTTGCATGGCCAAAAAATTTTGCATTCGCTTCCCTGGCCTGGTGCAAATTTACCGTGTGTACCAATGATTAGGCGTCGTGTACTATGAATGTTTCTTTTTTAATATTGTGTGTTCTCTGAACGAGGTCTACAACTAGAATATTCCTGACCGTAACTTATATATATACACGTATATATATTCTTTAACACTCTAGCCGAAAAAACACGAGTTTTTAGCAGCGTATCTTTTTTTTGTGTTCCCGTTCATTCACCAAACCGAAGATCACGTTGATTTATTTGTCAAAAAAGTTACCTTAAAATTTTTTCGCAAATTTGTGTATATGAAAATAAAAACTATAAACAAAATGTGATGGAAACTGCAGCGCGTATTTTATTATTCACTCAAATAACTTGCTAACCAAAACGTTGTGAAATGTGTGTTTGTCTTGTATTTGATACGGTTGCGATGAGACAATAGTATATGTAAATCGGTCGTTTCGTATATCGTACAGTTGGTTTTGTGTAGATTAGTATGTAGTGAGTGCGCGCCTCTGCTTTGTAGCAATTCTGTTGTAATATGTGTAAAATACACGAATGTATGAAATAAAAGAAGTAAGAAAAGTCACACGATGAGTTTAACATTGAAATGGCATCCCTGTTTGTCTTTTCAACTCACTCGAATTATACTACAACGCACACACATACACTGAAGCACGCCAGATTACAAACATGCACACACATACAGACACACATTCACGCAAGCATCGGGCACATTTGAAGCGAGGCAGACTCGAAACCCACACGCTGTCCTCACATTTTGTGTGTGCGCTGTTGCTTGTTTTTTTTCTTAGTTTTTGTCTCCCTCATTCTTTCGTATCGCCTCGTTAAAATGAGCTTCGTCTACAATACGTCTATTTGTTTTACGTTTCGAATTTCGTTTTCGAATTCGTAAATTTTTTTTGCCTATAATTTTTTTTTAAAATTGCATTCATTAGGACGGCAGTTTTTTTTTCTGTTGTCTTATAGAAAAATTAGCGATTTATGCGCAAAACTTTCGCCTTTTGATAGATTTTTTTTTTAAATAAAAATGATAAAGCTGGTGCCTGAATATGATGAAATGCGATATTAAAAGTGACGACATTCAACTGGCAAAAAATATTCAGAAATGAAAGCAATATTCATTGCTAGCAATAATGATCAAACATTTTTAACAACATACTATTGTGATCAAAAAGTACACATAATTGATGATTTCAAATGCGCGGGATGAAGAAATCGTGTAAATATTTTTTTTGTGGGTTGGTAGCACTGTCATTTATAACGGTACAAAATATCATGTCAATATATGCATCACATGTTGAGTTACACTTATTGATGTGCATACACAAAATTTCTTTTGGCGATTTTCATAATGACAGATTTTGTTGAGCAAAGAATTTGCATTAAATTTTGTGTGCGGAACGAAATTTCGGCCATAAAAACGTGTGAAATGTTAGAAAAGGCCTTCAGTGATCAATCCATGGCTAGACCAACTATTTATGAGTGGCATAAGAAGTTCAAAGAGGGCAGAGAACGTGTAGAAGATGAAATGCGATCCGGACGACCAACAACGTCAACTAATCAACAACGCGTCAAGGAAATAAAAGATCTTGTGCTAAAAAATCGTCGATTGGCAATTAGAGACCTTGTTGATATTGCTGACATTTCATTTGGGTCGATCCAAAGCATTTTAAAAGATCATTTGGGTCTCAGACGTTGTGCATCTCGATTAGTGCCAAAAACATTGAATTTCATCGAAAAAGAGCGTCGTGTTAATGTGTGTCAAGAAATGCTTTCTGACTATAAATCGTGCATAAAACGGATCATTACGGGAGATGAGACTTGGATCTATGCATACGACCCAGAAACAGCCGATCAATCCGCCGAATATTGTTTGAAAGGTGAAGCCAAACCAAAAAAATCTCGTCAAAGTCGGTCAAAAATCAAGGTTATGTTGACAGTATTTTTCGATTATCGTGGCGTGGTGCATTCCGAATTTCTTCCAAGGGGGCAAACTGTTAACAAGGAATATTATTTGAATGTTATGCACCGTTTGCGTGAAGCAATTCGAAAGAAGCGGCCGGAATTATGGGCAAACAACTCTTGGTTTTTGCATTATGATAATGCACCAGCTCACACTGCATTAATTATTCGTGATCATTTCGCCAAAAATTCAACTCATATCGTTCCGCAACCTCCATATTCGCCTGATTTGGCACCGTGTGACTTCTGGCTCTTCTCTACACTCAAAAAACCGCTCCGTGGACATCGTTTCGAGTCGATTGAAGAGATTGAACGTGAATCGCTACGTGAATTGAAGGCCATACCTGAAAATAGGTTTTCACACTGTTTCGAAGACTGGAAAAAACGTTGGCGTATGTGCATTGCGGCGGAGGGGGAGTACTTCGGAAGCGACGAAATGAATTTAGAAGAATAAATAAAGATTTTTAATTTTTTTAATCAATTATGTGTACTTTTTGATCATAATAGTAGGCCAAATCGAGTATGAATTTTGTGCTACTACCTGTCGCAACTTGTCCAATGAATCGTAAAAAATGTCGGTATTTTAATGGATTCGAATGGAATATATGTTCATATTTAATTGCAACGATATTCATTTGATGTGCTTTCATCTATTCAATGCATAAACATTCGTATCATTGTTGTTGTACGGCTTATCGTTTCATATACAACATTTTTCTAAATGTCGTAAAAAACATGGAGTATAATTCAATAAACGAACACAAATTCAGACACGATGTGTATATTCATTTGTATGGCATATGCACCAAAACAAAGGCGCAAAGAGACCGAATCAAATCGTAACGTATGTTGTATGCACATTTACTTCTTTACACACACAGAGGCAAACTTACGACAAACACATGTACATACGCACAAAATCAGTCAGTGTAGTAGTAAACACGGCCCAGTGCTTGCCGAACATTTCATTAACACAAAGATTTGAATGACATGGTATACCGGCGACAAACAAAAGATATACATCTGAAGGAAAAAATGGCGGCAAACGTATCCGATACGCATACATGTATTCGTTTGTGAGCTATGTCATTACCTGTTTTCTGTTTCGTATCTTCTCGTTTTACATGTGTTTTATTGTCTGCGAAATGAATTTCGTTCGAAAAATGGTGGCGCTGTTATCACTGACTTCTTTTTGCATACGCCATCTTTAATTCGAACTCACTTGGCTCCTTTTTTTGAAATCTTCATGATTAGTGCACGAAATTATGAAATTCTTTTGGAAATGTTCATTTCAAACAGCTTTTTTTCTGTTTTCATTAGATTTTCTCATTGATTTAAAAAAACACTCGATTTCGGGTGCCCATGATACCCATGATAAACGCCCGAAATATCAAAAAAAATCAAATATTTCAGTAAAATTGTTTTTTTTTGCCGTTTCGATGGCAATGACGCTCAAGGTTGGACGTACTCCTTTGGACGTACATCTTCGGAAATACCGATTTATTTTCGATTTATACCTACATATTCAGTGTACAAAATAAATATATTTCATTACAAAAATTAACGTTGAATCTGAAATTTAAAAAATTATTGAGATTTTCAATTAACACATTCAGCTTTCGTCTCAGAATGACCGTATTTTGGTTATTGTTTATTATTTTTTTAAAATTTGATTACAAAATCTTCAGCCTTATCTCGATTGAGATATCAAGATAGATACTATCTTTTATCTTATCTACATTGCAGTACAAAGTTGTTCAGAATGACAAGAGAATCTTTTTAGGAACACTGCCCTCCAAGATGTGATTTTTTTTTAACCTGAAACCCCGAAATTCGGAATCAGTATGCAAAAATACCTTAGATACCTAGAATCTCCAACTTACACTGGAATGTAAATCAAATGTCAACATTTAAGAGTTGAGAATTAGAGAACATAACAATAGATGATTTTAGAAACAAAAATATTCATATTATCTTTAGCTTATCTTTGGCGGTTTGTGAAAAAACAGATAAAAAACGGTAAATTGAGTTAAGTTTCAGTAAAAAATATCTAATATTTTTCTTGTATTTCACCACAGTTAGCGAATTTTTTCATCACACGCTATAAACGTCAAATCGGTATATTCACGAAACAAGGTTCATCTTCTGAAATGAAAACAAAATTGCCATTGAAACACAAAGTATGTGATTCTACGTTCGGTAAAATGTTAATTACTGATTTTTTTAAAATCTTCTTCTTCTGGATTGAATAATAGTTTCAACTAAAATAGAAACATTTTTTTCCATTTTGAAATCCTGACCGCAATTGTTTTAAAGCCATTCATCTCCAATTGACTCTATTTAAACTGCATAAGCCCTGTATATCGAAAGGGATCTTTCTTATAAACGAAAGCTTTGTCCTTACATGGTACTATCGCAATTCCCTCCAAGTCTGGATTATTCTTAATAATACTTGTCACATTCAAAATGTGCTCATCCCGTGTTCGTATATTGCAAATAAAATAACAGGTCGGGGAATGGAACATGTGGAATTGCCTAGGGTTAATCACAAAGAAAAGAATGGAAATAATGGAAACTAATCAATATTTAATGGAACGTAATGGAAGTAATGGAAACATATAATGAAAATCAAATATGTATAGTTTAAAACAAAATGCTTACTATAGAATAGCACTTGGTGCCAAGGCCACTACCTATATCAATTAAAAAAAGAATGGAAAGAAAAAAAATATCACCATTAATATATCAATCGGTCTACAATGAGTGAAACCAAACGACACTTACTCACACACGTAAATTACTCGTAGACGGAGTAAACTACGGGAGACGGCCGAGGAGGATATTCATTTTATTTGTACCGGGGAAGAATACGATTGTGGACCGGCTCATAGTTGGGGCAAACTAGAAAACTGATCGATACAAATCCGATACGATAGAATTAAAATTCATTTCACAATAAAGAAAATGCAATTCCGAGAAAAACACATTTACCGATCCTTTGTATTCATATTCACCGATTTATGGTATTGGTCTATTGCTCGGTGTGTTTGTATGGTTGCCGAAAAGAACACGATAGCGGACCGGTTCATAGTTGGGGCAAACTAGAAAACTGATCGATACAAATCCGATACGATAGAATTAAAATTCATTTCACAATAAAGAAAATGCAATTCCGAAAAAAACACATTTACCGATCCTTTGTATTCATATTCACCGATTTATGGTATTGGTCTATTGCTCGGTGTGTTTGTATGGTTGCCGGAAATAATACGATTGTGGACCGGTTCGTAGTTGGGGCAAACTAAGAAACTGATCAATACAAATTTGATCCGATAGAATTTAGATTCATTTTACAATGAAAAAAACGCAATGCAAAAAAAACTTACCGATCCTTTGTATTCATATTTTCCAGGTTCTGACATCGTTTGTGGTCGGTTTGTGAACGATTCCCATTTGTTGTTCCTGTCAATGAATGAATGTTGAAAACAAAAAAAAAATCTTTAAGAAACCAAAAAAAGAAACATTCAATTGCATATCGTAGTCAAAGTAGGCTTTGAAAAATCATAAGAAACTGCGTCGCACTATTGGCTAACGGTACCCGTAATCCACTGTGCGCAATGATGAAATTCATGATTTAACTTGATTTTGTATTGTGTTCAATGTGTTTCTTTCTATCTCAATCTCATTCTACCATGCAGTCAATTTAAAAAAAATTCGAAAATTCTGTTTAATATTATATTTTAAAATAATACTTACCGAATACTTTTTCTGGAAAAACCGACAAAAATCCAATTCGACAGAATATTTCACTTTCGATGTAAAATGAAAATTTATGCGCAGCAATTTTAGTTCTTACACTGGTGATGGTTCGACACGATGTGACTTGTTGCCGACTTGTTGGGTTGGAATGTCACAGTCAAATAAATTCTCACACCAACACATTCAAATCGGTTTGTCGTTGCAAGTAGCCGATATCGGACAGCGAATGCGTTAGCTACTGTTGATACAGTTTTCGTTTATCCGTTTGCGTCTCCATGTTGTCGTTGTTGTGACGTTGTTCCGATGCAATGCTACTGTGTGTACAGTACAATATTGATTCCTTGTGTGTTGTTCTCTCCACTGCTACTACCACTACCAAATCTCAATTTTTGTCAGCAAAGTGTTTGCTAACGCACCTTCGTTCAATTCATTTGCAAATTGTTTTTAATTTATGTGTGTATATATGTGATCAAACCCTTACTACTTTCTTACATACTAAATAGATATTGATATTGTGATTTTTTGAAATGGATGTAATGGGTGTAATGGAAAAATAATCGAAAGAATGGATAGCATTTTTCAATAATGGAATAGTAATTTTTAAAGTAAGTATACCCTGGGAATTGCTCATGTCAATAAATGATAAATATCATGCGCTTTCAGTACATCACTTGCTTCATAAACCAAATTCAATTTCTTTCCGGCCAGTGTTGATTCAGATGCTTGTTTCATCATATCAGGGCACACACAATATCCGACAATTTGTAGCCATCGTAAGTTGTGGCCAAATTTATTTTGGCATAAGAATCAATTTCAAGAAGACTATGACATAGTCTATGTTTTCCCGTGTAGTATACGGGCGCTAAATGGAAGTCGCAGGCGCTCTTATTTGCGCTTTGGAAGAGGAATGACCGAGAGCGCAAAATATTTTGTCGCGCTATCGAGGATTTCTCTTTAAACATTTTCGCATAAAGACACAGCAACCGAATATGAGTTATGTATACAGTACATACAGTCGATAGAGTCACTTACTAGCATAGCACACAATATGAATAGTATGCACAATGTGCATAGTGTGCTATGATATTGAGCGACTCTGTGGACTGTATGTACTGTATACATAACTCATATTCGGTTGCTGTGTCTTTATGCGAAAATGTTTAAAGAGAAATCCTCGATAGCGCGACAAAATATTTTGCGCTCTCGGTCATTCCTCTTCCAAAGCGCAAATAAGAGCGCCTGCGACTTCCATTTAGCGCCCGTATACTACACGGGTTGTATGAAAAGTCTGTGAAAAATTGATTGCATCTTAAAACTAACATCAGCTTCGGGTTTCTCGTGCCAAAAAACACCCCATTACAAATTCTTTCAGCGTTCAAATTGAAAGAATTTCAATTTAAGGCATTTTTCTCATAAGTGCCTCTTCAGAGTCTAAGTTTTACACCGATAAATCAATGTCGTTGAAAATTTGACCAGATCTATTCCTCGTAGTGTCTAATCATCCCGTAAAGTCAGATTTTGAATTTCATGTCTGAGCACGAAACCATCGTGTCACCAAAATGGTTGAAAAATGATCAAAAAATGTATGGATGTGGGTACTTCATTCGGACCAAAAAAAGTTACACCGGTCAACAGATATTGCTCAAAAACTAATCAGCACGTCTTCTGGTAGTCCCAAATCATCCTGCAAAGTCAGAATTTGAATTGAGTTTTTGGAAGAAGACTTATCGTGTTAACAAAAAAAGGAGTCACAGGACACATCACACACAGCGACGCACATTAATATGCCCCAAAATCATCTCCAATCGTGTTTTCTACATGAAATATGCATAGAAAACATGTTTTGGGGTGACTTTAATTTTTTGGCCTAATACAATACCTTTCCTACACTAGGTGCGCGGAAAAGTAAAAACATATAAATAACGAATAAATTTCGACAGCCATGGAAAACTCCAAAAGAAAAATCAAAAACTTCACACTTACATAAAATAGACAGAACTAGTGATTCCAAACTGATGTGTATGTGATAAGAAGAGCGAAAATGACTATACAAAAAAAAATCGGTTAAAAACAGGGACTGTTCTTTCGAGAAGAAGAAATGGTGAGAAGGAGGGATCCTCATTTTCAATTGAGAAGGTCCTCAGTGCTCTCCACCCCATTCCTCTTCCTCAAAAGAACAATCCCTGAAGAAAAACAAAACAGACAAATGTGGAATAAAAAGGAGAAATGTCACAACTCCAACAAACAAATTGCATTTGATTGTTCAAACAAGTGCAACAGATAAAACAAATTCGAATGAAATGGGAAAATTGGTTGAATGAAGCATTTCATGATGGTAACGGTAATTACTTGTTGTTGGCTCTTTGTCTGAAATGTCGATTTCAAATATGTATTAAATCAACGGAATGAATGCAAAAAGACAACAAAAAATTATTCACAAAAGGAAATATATTGTTTAAAGAAACATTAATGAGCGCAGTGTTATTTATTTCGTTGATATATTTTTGGACTGTTGTAACTTACTTAAAATTTGTTTTTTTTTCAGACTTTTACTTTGAAATTACATGTTTTTTTCTTCACAGTTCAACGAACTATAGAATGGTTATAAATAGGATAAGTTTTTTTGGAGTTTAAATTCTACAGCTGGTCATGTCGTTGATACAATTGTTCTGTGACAATAAACATTTATAAGACAAAGCAGAGTTTTTTGCTAACTAACGTTTTCTCGAAACCAAACTGAACCATCTTTTAGTTCAAAGACTACTCTTCGATCTGAGCAAACGTAGACTAAAAAATATTGTGCAATGGTTTGTTTCATAATAAAAATAAAAAACAGCAATTTTAGCCCTTTTTTCTGATATTTATGCAATTGTTTATGCATTACATATTTGATTCATTATCAAAATGGACATAGCCTAGGCTATTCTTTATTTATGGCATCATTTTATTTTTGTTTAATACGTGCTTCAATTATTGGAAAATCTTCCTCTGTTGCATAGCTTCGAATATATTTTAAATAGACGGTTTTAGTTCCAGCAATTCTGCTTAATTTAATGGGTGCGCCAATTTTTCTCATTTCACATAATCGTAAATTCATTTCATCCACATTTCTTCTCAAAACATATAATGAATTTGTAATTTCATTTGCTGTAAGGCCAACTTCACTCTGCCAAAAATCCAAATGAGTTTTGATCTGCAATAAAACAAACAAACAAAATAAAAAGAAATCCTTATACGATACGACCTGTTTCCATTAAATCATTTACCTTTAAAGCGGAAGATTGTTTTAAATTTGGATACTTTATCAAAGCGTCTTTAAGATCATTTTCACTCAAATCTAGCCGGTTTGAAAGATAGTCCATGCTATTTAATGTGTGAATCATATACGTCGATATTTTATCGAGGCCGATTTTTTTAAGACTTTTGATTCTGTGGTCAATTTGTGCCACGCTATAGTGTTTGAAGACCTTTGAACATGACAAAATAGTTGTACGATCTACGCCATGTTTCAGAAGAACATCTAACGTTGTTTTGAAGACATTTGGCATGGTTTTTAAGAAAACCTCACTTTTTGCAGCAAAACTGGCGGCAACCTCAGTGACTGGTATCTTTAGTTTTGCGCTAAAATAATAAATCGGATGATCATTCCCAATGGCGTTGAAATCAACGAGATCACGCTTGTATTTTTCCAATACAATCGCGTCGGCAATTAGCAGAGGAATGAAGTCTGCAATATTATTCGGTTTCATTTGTTGTACGATATTTATTTTCTCCTTAATTTCATCTAAAAAAACATTTGGAATTTAAATAGCATCACAAAATAAAATTCAATCCATACCAATGGGCATAGTGAGCAAAAATCCATTTTTCCTAATTGAATCGTTGCGGCGAAACAGTAGCTCTTATTTTTCTCCAAATAATACTGCAACATGAAGTTTTTTTCACACGGTTTATTTGTTGTAATACAACAAATAAACTATTCATAAAAAACTTTATGTTGCAGTATTATTTGGAGAAAAATAAGAGCTACTCTTTCGCCGCAACGATTCAATTGTCACTTGGTCGATTTTCATTTCCAATAAATTGCTGACATTCTTTTCTGCCACAACTAGTTCATTTAAGTCATATACATAAGTGTAATACAGCTCAGACGATTCAAAATGGTCACCACCTAATAACGACATCAACGACTCAACAATTGCTTTTTTGTCTGTGTTAAGTTTGTTTATTTGTATCATCATTTCGGCGGATAAGGCAGTCCCTTTTTCGGCTCTTTCCAATTTGTATTTTTCAATTAACCTGAATGCAAAAAGACCAAAGAAATTAATTTTAATTTTGTCATTTATGTTGATTTCATAAAAGATAATTAGCAATAAGCCAATGTTGATACAAGATTGTCCGAGAATAAATGTGAGATTTCTCCCGAGATTTGAATGAAATGTAACAATTGTTCTAGCAACTGTTTCTCAAAGCAGTAAATCAGAGACTGTTTCTCCCTCAGTTGATCATAGCGCTCCTCCTGAAATATAGTTATTACTATGAGAAACAGTCTCTGTTTTTATATGGTGCTGGTAGTGTTACATTTGAATAAAATCTCAGGAGAAGACCAACATTCATTTTCGAGCATATATTTGTTAACATACTCATCGAATATTTCTTGTGACAATTTAAAATGCCACATTTTCACCGGCATTCCAGTAGATAGTACACATTCAGAACGACAAAGCAACCTTTCAGCACTAAGATTCAGAATAGAAACATTGGTTGCCAATTCCATTGGGTTCACGCCATAGTCCGTCAATATTCTGACTTTTTTCTCGAAATTTCGAAATTTTGAAAATGATATATCACGTTTACCATTGGCAATGGACCTTGCAATCACTTGTGGTTCAACCTGCAATTATTGATAAAATATTTGTTGTAAAATATCGAATTTGACTTATTTTGGGGAAATAATGAACCTGAAGACGTTCGCTCAAATAATAAATACGATTTGTGTGTCCATGAATTGCAGGTTTATATTTATCCTTCAATAATCCGCCAACAAGTTCTTGAAGTTTAATTTCATCGAGTGTTAACAACGGTGCAAAATCATCAAGACTCTTCGGCTGCATTGATTTTAACACATCTATCTTCTTGTCCAGTGATTCTAAAATTAATCAATTACAATCATTTCTATAGATATTATTCAATACAAACACGAACCGATATCTATTGTGAGGAGTGATGGATTCTCGAATATTGACTCAGCCGACAGCTGTGAACGAAGATATACCAGTGTATCGGTTTTAATTGCATTAATTTGTCGTAACGCTGGAAAATCACAATATATCTTCGCAGCAATATCTTCCGAACAACATAATTTTCGAGAAAGTTCTGCAATGGCCAGATATTCCTTCGGTTTTGATGAAACGGTCCGTTTTTGTTGATGGATCATGTGCTTCACTTGTAGATATGTTGAAATTACAGGTTGTATGTATCTTTGGTTGTTCAAAACGTAACTTCTGACAATATTTTTTAAGAACATTATTGATTGATTGTTATATTTTGATTAAGAGAAATAGAAGAAGAAAACAGAAGAATTTCCAAATAAGAACTATTTATTGCATCATCCTCCCCGTCAATTTTAAATTCACAACTGTCAAAGTAATTGAATCAGTTGTCAAAATGTACAAATGTCAAGGTTTCAAATTGCTTATAACAGCAGCACCGTTAAAATGAATTTAACATCAATATGTAACTCATCTCTTGCTCAGTTTTACATTTCTAAAATACTTTCTCCTTACACACTCTGGGTGTAGCTAAATAAGAGACCATCGCCAAAAATGATTGCATTAAAACAATGCACCCCGAAAAAATGAAGCTTGTTTAAAAATAGTTTTGAACAGTGTTTCGAATTTTTCAATGCCAATTCATTCAATTATAATTACCATTAAATAATGCAAATTAAAATTTTCAATTACCATTTACATTCAAATTGGGAAATGAATTGAAATTCATTTCAATTGCGTGAAGTTGCAGAGATTGATGCCTTATACGGCATTTGTACATAGCTAACATCAAAAGTGAGGTTAATATTTAAATGCTCACATTCAACAACAACGGTTGCTGTGTCAATAAGTTTAAAAGAAACTCGCGGCAATGAAAACAATTTCAATCTTCACGCTTTTGTATAGTTTTTGAACTTTCGCATACAATACTCACATGAAACATTGTATTTGTCTATATAATTTTCATACAAAATATCGTTTTTGTATTATTATTATTTATTTATTCACCGTCTGATTAAAGACTGATTTTATCACAATTATTTACAATATCATTTGCAATGAAACACTACCCGATCGAATACCAGCCGCCAGTCTTTTCGACTTCGGAGCAGCAGATATGGACTGTGTCCATTGTATATTACTATATTGATAACACAATTTTTCTTAGTATATTTTGCCGAATATTAAATACGAGTAACACTTGCGTTGTATATTGACAATGCGTTATTGACAGTTTATTTTCTTCTTTGCTTGAATCTGGGCATAGCTTCTGATCGGGTTTCCAAGGGATCAAACAAGCACCATGCTCTAGATAACAGGAGGTTTGATATATTTGATACTTCGTTGCATTGACGCACTCCTACTCGGACCAGCATCGATTCAGGAATATTTTGAAACCACGTCAAAGATTCTACAAAAAATTCCATTTTGAAAATGTACCTTACCATCGCTTAAATTCCAATATTGATAATAGGCTCCTTGATTGTTTGATGAAAAAATCTTCGAAAAAATGTGCTCATATAGAACAATTTTATTTTCTTTTTTTTCTTCGAAATAAAACAACTAAATGTTCGTAAATTTGTTAAATTAATATTTTATTTAAAAAAAAAAATCTCGTATTTTTCTCATTGTCGTTTCACATTAAAACACAGAATCATTGAATTTGAAAATCCGCATTGTTAAAATTGTTATTTCTCTGTAAATTTCATGTACAAATTGAATTATATTTTTTTCTCTTGTTTTATTATTATTATTATTCAGTTGAACAACAAATTAATGTTAGGCATGTGTATTAATCGAACAAATCCAGATCATTATTCAAAACATTCCGGTCGAATGAATTCGTTTTTGTTTTTAATAAGTGCAAATGTACAAAATTCTATAATGAGAAAACAATTTATACAGAGTACAGATTCAATTTCTTCCATTTTGCTATTGAATTCAAATTTTTGTATATTGTTAAGTCTCTTTGTTATTTTTTTTGGGAGGAAAAAGAAGAAAATGAGTGGCAACAGTTTAACAAAAATTCGATGTATGAGTTCCTTTATATAATTAAAATCACTATCATCACGTTGCGTCAATTTTTTTTCTCTTTCATATATTATCCTGAACTCATTTGCTATATGCTTCTTTTTAGTGTTCTACGTCTAAGTGGACGAAAATGAAATCCAATCTCTTGTCGTGTATTAAAAAGTTAGGCACTTGTTAAATCAATTTCATTTATACAACTAGAAACTTTTAAGTTTTTCTTTAATTAAAATCATTTTACATTTTTTTTGTATTTATTCATAATGTAGAGAAGAAGAAGAAAAAAAAATAAGAAAAAAAATAATAATAAGAGTAATAATAATATAATAATAAAAAAATGAAGTACAACGTTTGTTCTTGTAAGTCAAGATGTGCGTCAAGCGAGTTCAGTTCAAGAGCTTATGGTTTTCTTTTAGCTGATTAGACTTTTGGCACATTGAAACTCGAATTCAAAAATTATAATAAAAATGGTACTTGAATATTAAGCATAGAATTTATTTCTTAAAAAAATAGAATTCATTTTTAAAAAATACAATTTAAATAATTCTCTTTTTCCCTTTCTATCGGTCGTCCTTGTGTTTTGGATCAATTGTCGTTCAATATAGATTTTATTTGTTTAAAAAACTTTTCTGGCACTTTGTGACTTTTTTTTTCATAATCTTCATCAATGTTTGTTTCTTTTTATTTCCTGCATTTCAAGCTTACAAAAATAGATATATAAATTTCTTTTATTATGTAGTACATAAAATTTGCGTGTTGTCCTCTTTGAATAATAAAAAATAGACGCGTCCACAAATGATTCAATAATTTCAATTTCTTGACTGTCGATTGTTCAATTAAAAAAATAAATACTTTGATATGTTAAATACAATAGTTTTCCATTTTGGTAAGGAAATTCTCTCCGAAGACAAACGATACAAAATTTCTTTTCTTTTTTTCAGAGGAACAACAACTGAGTTAATTTGCGTGTATTTTTTTACAAATAAAAATTCTTCATTGTTGCGTTTTCATTGAATTCTCATTTTTTGGCATTATAGTTTTTCTGCTTTTTCGGCTAATCGTTTGTTCTCTTTTTTTTGGTTAATTAAAACACTGCTAAATTGTGAACGTGTGTTGTTTGTTAAAAAAAAATGTAAATCGTTACGTTTTCATGATTCCTAATATGGAAGTATATATTGTTGATTAGAAAAAAGCATTTTTAATTCGTTTTGATTAAATGTATGTGTTCGTTTTCGTTTTAAGATTTTGATTTTTATCGCTTTGTTTTGTTGGTGCTTTTAATTTGCTATATTTTTTTTAGAAGAAAAACCATTCGACTATGATGCGTGTATGTGTGTGATTGGTTTAGTTCTTTCGCTCAATGGAATTAAAAGATGTTGTTACTTTTTGGCTTCCGGTTACGCGCTTGATACTCGTTGAACTAGCCATGGTAGATACTGATTTGGTGATGCCGCTATTTATAGACATTTGGGACAGGTTTTCTGTCGGCAACTCCATTTGAACGTTCGGCGATAAATTTCTTTGGAAGCATTTGGTTTCATATCTAATCGAAAGGAATTCGTTTCATCAATAATACGATAATTGTATTTGTAATTTGATTTTATATGGCACAATAAATAAATGAAAATTATATAATGAATGGCAATATATCTGTTTGTTGTTTTGTTTTGGTTTTTTTTTTTCATATCAATTACGTTGCACATTTGCTGTCTAATTACTACAGAACCGATTTTTTTTTTTTTAAAAGAGCTTTGAATAGGTGCAAACATTTTCAAGACCAACAACAAAAACCACATTTTTTTAAATGGGAGATAAATGTCTGAATGCGTAACAATATTCAGTATAATGGATGAATGCGAGTATGTAAAATCAAATATTGCGGTTTCCATTCAAAACCGACAGATATAACAATAAATTTAAATTTTGAAAGAAAAAACAAATTTGGATTTGTTAATTTTAAGGCCAACATGTGATTTTCGATTAAACATTCTCGCTTCTTTAAGGCACATATAGAATATAACATGTATATATTGATTTCATTTGAAAATTACATTCAATATTAACAAAAAGCTGGTTTGAAGCTGGTCTAAATGTGTAGAACACAAAATACTGACCAAACAATATTGATTCCATGCAATCCCAACAATTTCTCTTAATTTTACAACAATGACAATTTTCCAAAAAAAAGAAAAAAACGAAAAAATAATGTTTAAGACAATAACCATGAAACCAACATTTGACATGCGCTAATGAGTAAGATCAGAAGCGCAAACATTCTGTCCCATAAATTGCAATCTTCTTCGATTCTACCAAAAGAAAAATGGACACAATGGGGAATCATTTATGCATGTCCATTTTTTGGTTGTCCATAAAATACATACACCAAGAATATTCGGATGCAAATTTCTAAGATTTATATGTGTAAAATGAGTATTACCAATGCCAGTGTTAGAAAGCATTTACATAAAAAAATGTTAGTATGTTTTAACAAAATCAGCTTAAACATTTATCATACAAATCAAATGAAATACATTTAAGCAAAGCGATTGGAAAGCGTTAGTTGATTTCGTATTTCTAGGTTGGTTTCGGATTTTTACGAGAAATTAAAAAAAAACAAGCGGTGACATTTTTTTTTATTTGTTTGTTTTGTCTCCTAAGACGTTCGATTTGTACGTGTATTTTTGTGTGTGTGTGTGTGTGTTTAAATGATCGCGATTAATGATTTTACCTTGTTGTAAAACCCTCGTAGGTTTGTTCTGATTTTGATTGGTCATTCTTATTCGTTTCACTTGAGAATGGTACTTGTTTGAATGTGCTCAATGGAACCACGCCACTTTTGCCAAATGTTTTCTCATGTAAATCTTGTACACAAGCTTCGAGCTGTTTATTTTTTTCGCTGTGATCATGTCTAAAAGTCGATGTTAATAATGGTGACACTGGTGAACCGTATATATTATCTGAGTGATAGGGCCGTGGCGTGGCATTTCCTGTCAGTACGGATCGATTGAAACGTGATGGAACCTCTGGCGGTGGTGGTGGCGGTGGAAGATGGTGTTGTTGATGTTGTTGTTGGTGTTGTGGTTGTCTATTCGGATTGAAAGTGCTGTATAAATTACTACTGTTCGATGAATCATTGAATCGACTATTGCTGTAGACTTGGTAATTTGGCAATGGTGGTGGCGGTGGTGGTACATAATCATCATGATCACTATCGTCCAAACCGTGGATGGCATTTCGATGACGATATTTTGCTTGTCGAATGGCACACAATTTGTTTCTTGCTTCTTCCAATTGTTTTTCCATCTTAATAACTTCGGATCGTGCATTTATTTCCTGAGCCATACCATCAACCATACTTGTGTTTATCTTAAGAATATGCTCTTCTTCCATATCGAGCGCTTGTTGGGCGGCTCGCACCAAATTATCAGTTGATTTAATAACAGCATTGCCAGCCGCTTGCAAACGTCGACCGGTTTCTGAATTTGGATCCGATCGCACTTTGCATGCAATCAAAAGTTGAGCTGTCGATGCAGCTACTTGTTTAGCGGATGATATAAGTACTTCTTCGGTGCCTAAACCTTGAACAAGATTTTGAGCAGCTTCCACTAAACTGTGCGTTGCAGCAGCAACCAATCGGGCGGCCGAAATTAAACCTTCCGACCATTGACCATCGTCTGAGGAAATATGCGGTGAACGTGCCACTTTTCCTTGATCAATTAATTCTCTTTGGGCTGCATTTGCTGCACGTACCAGTGCCGATGATGCAGCCATAATACCACGTGCCGCTTCCAAAATCATTTCATCAAATTGTAGATTATAGTCGGCTTCCTATTCGAAAGAATGAAATTTTGAATGAAATGATTGTACAAGGCGAACAATGAACATTGACATGGAATTAATGAAGAAATATTCATTGAAACAGATGATGGGAATATGATGCAAACAACAGAAACGATAATAATATGTTTGATTCCTGGGTGAAAATTAAAAATAACAACCAAGAATATCAAACATATCTCATCGTAACCATTAACACTCTTGTAGAAGATCCCATTGGAGCCTGCCACTTTCTTCCGCTGTAATAATCTTATAATGATTTAAAGCAAAAAAAAAAAATTTAACGCACCTTTGCTTCAAGTTGTCGACGTGGTCGAAGGTTGGCCAATTTTTTGGCGGCAGCATCAATTGAAGCGGCTGCACCAAGCAGCTCATTTTCAGCAATAACTGTTGGATCCTCGGGATCAACCCAATCGGAACCTTTCAAAAGTTGTGCCATCGCAACTAAATCGGTAACATATTTTGCAACTTGTCTCGATAGATGCATTCGCTCGTCGGCATGACAACCGCGTAAAACACCTTCCAGCAATTCTTTGTATGATGTTGCAACAGCTGTACCAGCATTCAATGTTCGTTGTCGTAGTTCGGGTGTTTCGGCACAATTCCATGCAACTGATCGACACACGGCCAACATTTCCGATATGGAACGGCGACCCAAATTGGCCGCTGCCACGATATCATCTTGAAGATTTGATGCACCAGCTGCAACTGCCTTTGCTGTTGCTAATGTTACATTTCTTGTGACACGAATCAAATCTTCCGGTGTGTTTGGTGGTGTACCAAGCAAAACTGGCGATTTAATCATCTGTTTTTGATTTTGTTAATGGGTACGCGCACGATAGGAATAATACACAAACGAAATACATTTCAATTAATATTAATGCAGATGAACGTGTCATATATATTTGAATAACAAAAAAAAAAATTCGAACAAGAAATAATGCCAAATGTATTGGAAAGAAATTTACCCGAATCTCTTGAGAAATTGCTTCGACAGTTGCTTCCATTGCACGTGTTCCACGTGTATGCTCGTCCTCGACTGCTTTTACAGTTTTTAGAAGTGATGAGACATTGAGAACCATAACCTACATTTTAAGTTGGTAGAAACTTATACTCATCAAACCAAATCTAATAATACTGATGTGTATATGTGTACGTGAACTTGTTTTATGTTTTATTTTGCAAAATTTTAAAAAATCAAAATTTCCAGATGAAAAAAATTCTGAAAAGAGAATCACTTCCGAAATCGCTTCACAAGTAAAAAAAAACAATTGCATAGGCTATTATATTGTTTTCTTGTATTAATTTAGAAGAATTGATTAGGTTGCGGCGGCTAGTTTGAAACTACATACTGCACAATAACCACAAAAAATAATATATAGAAAGTGTATATTCGTCAGAAGGAAAACCCGTACACTGTTAAATCTCAAAGAGATATAAACTACAGACAATGTGCTTCTTGTTATTTTTGTATTGTTTTTATATGTGGTATCATTAGAGAAAAAAAAAATTATATAAAAACTTATCAAATAATAATCAAATAGTCAAGCATTCTTCCACGTAAGCCTAGCAGCATTCACGTTATTAGTACAAATAATCAATAGTAATGACACACAAGCAATATTTTTCTGTTACTTACCCGTGCACTTTCTTTTAGATCTTGCATGCATGGATCGTTAACCGGCTTTCCGGCCGCATTCTTTGTTGTATTGATCAATTCGCCGAGTGCCGATGCAACATCTTTCACCGCATTTATGACCATCACTTGTGATTCAGGTTGATTTGAACCAAGACTGCATGCGCCACGTTTTACAGCATCCGCAAGTTGAACTATAAATTAAAAAAAAAATTATTTCATTTAATCGAATGAATACATGTCAGTGTATGTTCGATACTTACTAATGGTTGTAACCGCATTTTGTGCAGCATTCGAAAGTTGATCTTGTGAACCAGCCGCTCCGGCCACCAACACTTTTGTATCTTCAACCAATGCTTTGGCCGTTTTCAAAATGTGCTCACGATGATCGGCAAAATTGCCATCATTGTCTGAATGCAAAGTGCCGGCCGTTGCAAACATGATTGTTGTATCTAAATCGCCAATGATACCCGATACCGTATTTGCAGCATTAATACATGCTTGTGTTCCTCTTGATCCAGCTTGGAGAGCGGCCAAAACTTGTGACACTTTCTCCGATACACTTCGAGCCGATGATGAAATTTCAGTCAATGAATATGCATCGTCAACTCTTGCACCGCTGCTGGCTTGAATCAATGTACCAATCGATCGTCCCAAATCTTGAACGGATTGTTTGATACGCACTGCCGAATCCGATGAATTGGTTACATGCGATGCACCAATTGAATCATGAGCGAGTTGTGTATAATGATGTGTTATATCAACCGATGGTTGTGCCAATTTCGATGGATCCAATGCAGCCTTGGCATTCATTTCATTTGCCAACCGGGCAATTTCCTTGGCACTTTGTACCATACGTGTTTGATAATCAACAAAACTGGTGCTCACCGTTGCATTGAATACCGATTGACGTTTATCGGTGATGCGTGACATTGCACGATAAATTTGCTCCATTAAACCGCTTACGATGCCACTCTCCGTTGACAATTTCTCAACGGTTGTATTCAATTCTTGGATAATTTCACGTGTATTATCGACAGCATCATCGAGACGACCATGAAGTTGTGTTGCCCGTGGATTACCGCCAGCCTCTCTGGCCACTTCAACCAATTCACGTGAACTTTCAACCACTGATCTCGTTTGATCGATCAACAAAATTTGCTTATTCGAATGAACAATGTGTGAACTAGCACCGATTGCACTCTGTGTCAATGGTACAATGTAACGTGAAATTTCGGTAACAGCATGTCCCAAACTTTCGGCATTACGTTTGGCAGCCGATTTAATTGGTTCAAGTTTATCGAGCAATTCGGCCGATGCGTTCAACATTTGACTGGTGAATCCTTGTAAATTATTGTCTTGACGCTTTGGCAAACCTTGTACACCAATCGAAATGGAAGCTGTATCCAGATCACGTGCACATGTATTGATCGTTTCGAGTACATTATCGCATTGAGCTTGTCCGGGTGCCTTTTCACGAATACTGTCCACTAAATTGCGTACACTATCCGAAACTGGTTTACTACGCAATGATAATTGTTGCCAAACGGCTGGATCTTTTGGAGCGACCGCTAAAGATTTGACGGCTTTAACCATTTCAACGACACCATTGACAACACCACGACCAGCATGCAAAATTGGCTCTTGGGCACGATAACCTTCATCGGATATCTTTGCCGGTATCGAAATGAATTCCGGTTGCGATGCATATTGACACAACGAATTTACAGCTTCCAATAATGGTTCAACGTATTGAGCACGTGACGGTGCACTGTATTCATCTTCCAATGCTTTGACTGCAAAGAAAACGAATTTACACAAGAATTAGATTGTTTTACTCTTTGGACGGGGGACAGATATTTTACTTTTTCAAAAATAAGATTTATTTACCTTGAGCAACTAAATCGGCGGTGGTGTTGGCCACCGATTTTGCACCTTCGATGAATTCATTCTTTGCAACTGGATTCGATGTGTTCAAGCTGGCGCGACGACATACAGTGCACAAAAATGACGTTTGCTTAGCGACGGCTGTCAAAGCAGTAATCTTTTGCTGTTTGGTTGTATTCAAACTGCTAACAATGTCGCAATTTTGACGAATACCCTGATAGGCACGATACAATTGCGTCTGATCAATGATACCTGGACGACCAGATGAGCTGGTTGGATGCGAAACACCAATTAGATAACTTGCTTGTGCGGCTGACTCAATTAAACTGCGAAGTGCCTCCGAAACTTGATTTACTGAATGTCCGAATTCTGTGTCAGCATTCTTGGCCTGATTGCATGTGTCGGATATGGCAATGCCCAATTGACGTGATTTTTCCGTGGCATTTTCAACACATTCATAGTAACCTTGATCGTTTATGGGTTCGGTTGGATTATCCAATAAGGGACGAAGTGCTTCAATCGAACGAATGGCATTGTCGCATTCTTTTTGACCTGCATTAAATGGAAAAACAATACAAGTTTTATTGTAGATTTTGTCATTTTTTTTTTCTTCGCGTTTTGATTTAAAACAAAATATACTTACATGGAGCCGCTTGTGTTGAAACGTCTACCAAATAATTGATGCTATCGGTAACAGTTCGTGATGCTTGTGATAGTTGACCCTTTGCATTGACTTGATTTGGATCGCTTGCAATGGATTTTGCTGTCGACAGTAGAGATACCGATGTAGCCGAAACGCCACGCAATCCATTCATGATGTTAGTTTGTGCAATGGTATCGATTGTTTGACCGGCCATTTCAAGTACACATGATAGTAAATCTTTGTAAACAACGCTATAGTTTTGCGACACAACCGCAAGCCATGGTGGGCTTGAGTATGCTTTGGCCACCTCACCGCTGGCCTCATTCAAATTATTTGCGGCCGTTCTGAGCTCATTTTGGAGTTGACCGTACGACTTATCGGTTGGTGGATATTCGCCCAAATTGATGATTTCACTTAATTCGTTGACATTCCGCAAGGCATCGTCGACTTCACGTTGGCCTGGCAGACATTCAATGCAATTTTGAAGAGCGTTCGTTACATCGCGAGCACATTGATGCAATGTTGGACCATTTTCTGGGTTATCCAATGCTTGTTGTGCCTCTTCCATTACACGAAGCGTATTAATGATGACTTGATCGGCCGATTCGATAATATCAGAATTGCCGCCGGTGGCAATAACACCACGAACATTTTTCGTAAAATCGCCCAATGACAATGCCAAATCACGACCAGCAACACCAGCATACATGCGTTCTTCCTGAGAAATGGCTGCCAAAAGTTGCGAAAGTGCCAACGAAACAGCTTTTGCACTCTTGGTCAATTGCTGTGATGTGTTATCGGATGTTTCATTTGGAAGTGGTCGAAGTTCTTTATTCAAATATGATGTCCGTGTATCATTCAATACATTACGTAGATTGTTAACACAATCAATGGCCGAATCAAGCTCTTGTCCACTACATGCTTCACGTGCACGACGTGCGGCCGAACCCAATTCATTAATTGAATGATTCAAATTCATGGCACTGTCCGAAAGTGTTTGCGATGCAACGTGATTCTTAACGGTTGGATAGAATGCACGGGCCGATGATGCAACATTGTTACCAGCATCGATGAATTGTTCCGAGATTTCAATGAGATTCAATTGTGATTTTGAATCGTTTGGATTGACAATGGAAGTTTTAACACCATTGACCAACGATGGAATATACTCGGTGGCAATGCCACAATCTTGCATCAATTGTTCTTTTGTATGTGAATCGTCACTGTAGGCGATCGCATTGTGTGAAGCCGAAATACATTGTGTCGCATATGATGCAGCATCCTTAGCGCAATTTTCTAAACGTTGAATAATTTGACGCTTAATGGCCGGTGTGTTTGCTTTCGATGTGGTAATATCACGCAATTCTTCGGCAGCGCTACGAAGGTCCGTTTGATGAATTGTGTCATTGGGGCTGCTGGCGCATAGACGTGCCGCTTCCACCATTTTTGCCGTTGCATCGGCCAATTTTTTGGCAGCGGCCAATAAACGATGTTGTTCGCCTGGTTCTTTCTCTTGTTCGGCTTCACTTTTGATCGATTGAATCAATTGAGCGGTGACTTGACCAAGTACACGAGCCTGACGCACCATTTCCTGTGCATCAACGCTTGACACCAGCTTATCGGTTGTTACCAAAATCTTCTCAACTGGATTCTCATCGTCAGTAGCTAAACGTTCTTTCGATGTTTGTTTGAGGTAGTCCAACAAGTCTCCAAGTGATCGTGATACTTCTTTTGCAGCGGCCATTAGGTCACCTTTCAATTGTGGACTCTCGCTGGCAAATTTACATGCATCGACCAAATTCGAAACACTTTTGGCCACTTCACGAGCAGCTGCTTCGAGTGAATCGCGACAACTGGCATTTTGAATGGTTGGTGCAACGACCTTTGTGCATGCAACCAATTGTGATGTGGCCAATGCACATTGACTTGCCGCTCCAATCACTTTGTTACGCTTTTCGTCATCGTCGCATTCGGCCGCAATTGATTTGGCACGAAGAACCAAAGCAGCAGTTGTATTTGCAACGGCTTTAGCTAATGCCAAAAGCATATCGTGAATGTCACGATTTTCGGGTGTTTCTTCGCCAATTGTTGTTAAAACTTTGCCACTTGCTTCGCCAACACGACTGGCAGCATTCAAAAGATTTTGACGTGGTTCTTTGCTTTCGGGTTCAGCCGCTTTCAATAAATCGCTTAATGCATTACACAATTTACGTGCCGTATCCAGCAATTTATTGCCACTATTGTCGTCGTCCATTAATGCGGCCAGCAAACGAACCTCTTTTGTAACTTCGGGTATGCTTTCGGTAATTTGTGAAACAGCTTGACTGATAACTTCATGATCAACGTCATCAGGCTGTGTAGCAGTCACAACTTGGGCCGTGGCAGCATTTACGCTTGCTATATGAACACTGACCGCATGTTTTGATGTGTCCAATCTATTTTCACGCCATTCAATCGAATGCATATCGGGTAGTGGCACTTTGGTTAGCAATTCTTCTTCTGCTATACGAATTGCTTCCTGTCCAGCCGATATGTAACCAAAAAGTCCACGCTGTGGCTCGGAATGCACGGTATTTATTCGTGTTTCTTTAAGCTATAAAAATTTAAAATAAAAATTGTCACAAATCAAGGTTGGTTTTATCATGCCTTAACCAATTATAAACTTATTTCGAATATATTATGTACAATGTCTTAATCTATTCACAGTTATTTATTTACAGTGGATGATTTATTTTATTCAATTTATTCAGCAGTGTATTTTCAGCATCTTATAATTAAGGTCTTGTGTGGGTTTTCAATACTTTTATTGGAAAATATTCTGTACATCGATAAAAGACGTGCTTAATAGACTAAAAATAGAAAAGATTTAAAAGAAACTCACCGTTGGCGGTTGATGTGCCATATTCACTTGGCCAATGAATGCTCCATATTGAATCGATTGAACTTCTTGATGAACGTATGGTCTTTCACCTGAATTCAATATTTTTTTTTTCATTAATTCAGGTACGTAGGGCACTAATAAAGTTTCTGGAATCGGGTATCCCCAGTAGATTCCGATGCAAGTGCTTACGATAGTTAAAAAGTTTCATAATTTAAATGAAAAATTGCATCAGACATCATCTGTCAATTTTTATTCATTGTTTGTTTACACGCGTCGCAAAATTTTGTCTCTGCCAAAAAATGAATTTGAATCGTGGGCATTTTCGTGCAATGATTTTTTATGATTTTCGAGTAGGATTAACTCAACAACAGTGTATCGATCGACTTCATTCTGCTTTTGGCGATAAAGCCCCATCCAAATCAAGTATTTATGACTGGTATAATGAGTTCAAGCGTGGGCGCAATACTCTTCACGACGAGCCTAGAGAAAGTCGTCTAAATACAGCTGTTGTACCTGAACACATCGATGCAGTACGTAACATGATAATGGAAAATCGTCATACGACTTACGTAGAGATAAAGGCATGCCTTGGCATTACTGCCCCTAGCATACATCAAATACTACATGAATATTTACATGTCCGGAAGCTATGTTCCCGTTGGATCCCACATAATTTGAAAAAAGAGGAAAAAGACAATCGTGTGAAATGGTGCAAGGAAATGCTGAAGAAATATGAGAGAGGTGAGTCAAATCGTGTCAACAATATCGTGACAGGTGACGAATCATGGATATATGCCTACAAATCAGAAGGAAAGGGCCAGTCGACTGTTTGGGTCTTTCAGAATGAGGAAAAACCAACAAAAGTTGTTCGTTTTCAATGCCTGAAAAGGTTTTCAACGCCTGAAGAAGCCTGTTTTGAGCTTGTCATCTACAGACTGGAAAAATTGCTTCTCCGATTGGTTTGTGCGCATGAAAAAGTGTATCGATGCTCATGGAGAATACTTTGAAAAACAATAAAGTGATTTTTCAATAATAACTATTGTTTTCTATTGGAGATTCCAGAAACTTTATTAGTGCCCCTCGTATTCTAGAATGCATAAACGCATTCATATTATATTAAATTTTACTCACCATCTGAAGCGCGAATAATGGCCGGTTTGGCCACTGATTCCATAACAACCTTTCCAACACGATTCTCTTCACATTGAAGAAACGTTGCCCTATTGAAATCAAAACAAAGAACAAATTTTTGTTTATAAATTTTATTTCTTCTTTTTTTTTAACGAAACTGAAATAACGGAAGAGAATTGTTCTTACTTTGATGGTGCGACGCTTTCTTCAACCATAGTTGAACCTTCGTCACCTTCAAGTCCAAAGTGGTCTTTGTTTTGTTTTTTCTTTAAAATGATATCGATGTAGCCGGCAATAAGTTGGACAATTTGCTCGGCTTCGGTTGTTTGAACCGAATAGTATTGGTCTGCATAGTCACCAAAATCCAGGGTGAATGTATTTGGTGATGCTCCCCATCGACGAACCGTGGTTAATGGCCATGTTTTCAGAATTTCTTTGGTACGTTCATCCAAACGTAAGACGGAGCTTTTCGTAACGCCCAACAAACGTGGCACCAGCTTATTTTTGCCATGCATCTTTTCTTTGACCAAGAAGAAGGTAACGCCATACGTCGACAATTCACGTGCGGTCTTTGTGTACAAAACTTTTGCATCTAGCTCAGACAAACCGATATGTTTTCGATGTTCGGAAAACACTTTTTTCTCAATATTTTTGACGCGAGAGTACGATTGCGGCAAAAATTCTTTAAGGCTGTAAATATTTATATATTTTTATTTTAAATATCATTTCAGTTTGATGTAAACATGATTATGCAACGAAATTTTGAGACGAAAAAAAAAACAAATAATATCAAGGACCGACAACGAGAAGACATCGTTTCGATTGCTCATCAACTAGTTTCTATATGAATGATTATTTGTTTGTTGTTGTTTTTTTTTCTTCATTCAAATGATAATTTATTTGTTGACATCGTTTTAAATTAGAATTTATTACTCACTCAAGGAATCCTGATTTGTGTTTGCTTTCGATGTAGTCGCCAAATTGAATTTGTGCTTGAATGCCGGCAAACTCGCAAGCTGTAATTCAAATCAGAGATATTGATAAGCAAAAATATGTCCGTGGAATTGACGGAATCGATTTTTTTTTGTTGGTGTGAGTGAAAATGAAATGAATGAATGACATGATATAAAAATGTACCTTTTTCTTGTGTAACCGGATGGGTGCCATCCAAAATTGCATCTCGAGCTTGAACGTATAACAAATTTAGTTGAACGGGATCTCTTGAATCGATATTTTGATCGGAGAAGAAGAATCTACGTTTCAACAAAACGGTTTCCGATTCGTCGATGCCTTGTTCACGTAATGTTTTTCCTATATCAACCCAAACGACTGAAATTTCGAAAAGATAAGAGCACATTATTATTTGCATTCATCGTCCACTTTTAATTCAATATTATATCTTGAGAGTATAGCGACTTTTTAGGCCCAAAAAACTGTTGAAGTTCTGAAAAAGTCAAATGGATTTCCAATCGAACAACTACATATCTCTAATTCGGAATTACATTTGCAAATCGGAATCGTTGTTAGAAGAAGTTAAACAAAATATATAAATCGTTGTGAAAAAATAACTCTCTCATCAATTTAAAAGCAATTTGAGCACTTGCGTGTTATTATTAATCAAAATTGAAGAACTACTTCATGATAAATGCACACTTTAATATTGAGTACATATTCATATATATTCAATATTCTAACCGTGTTTGGAATTTAACTTTTTTATATTTCAAAAAGAAAAACAAAAGTCTACTGTAATTCACTACACAAATGATAAAACAAAAATATCTAATTGTTAATGGTGTTTAAACTCACTTTCATCATCTGTCTTCAGTTTTTTTCTTAAACTTTCCATTTTGGCATCGCGATCTTTTTCCGCAAATTTTCGGCGAAGCGTCAATGTGCCCGTTTTATTGTCCGGCAAATTTTCATTTTGTTGATCGTTTTCCTCGCGCACAAGACCGTATTCCTCGTGATTTGTGATACCGATTTTTGTGCAAATTACAACCATCAATTGTGATACCGGTTGTGAATCATCAACGAGAATGGTTTTAACAGCACCATCCAACATGCGAACACGTAATGTACGCAATTTACGACGATATTCGAGCACATCATGATTGCGAAGCAAATAATAGCCTAAATTTCTACCCGATTCCAACCAAACCCCTTGCTTGTTATCATCATCCGATAGAAAAAGACCATATTCGGAGGCTGTAAATGAATTTCATTTCATTTGTTCACTTAATATTCTTGAAATGCGTTGCATAAACAAAAAAAATTAAACTAAAATAAACAAATTCGAAAGAACTTACGTTTCCCGTGAATGGCTTCAGCGAATTTCTCTCGTATTATTTTGCAAGCATCGAAAACAGTAATTTGTGGATCGAATTGAATTGTTTTAGTAACAGCACCACCCTCAAGGCTAATTTTCAGGGATAGTGTAGCCATTTGTGCCTTTAATCAAAATCTGAAACATTTTTTATTCTTATTAATTTAAATGTCTTTGAATAAATTTATTTTTATTTTTTTTTCTTTGATTGGTTTCCCTCTTCTTCTACTAGATTATCAAAAAACTACATTTGAAAAAAAATTGGAATGACTATATTTCCGATGTATTATGAAACAATAAAAATCGAACTATTTCGAGAGATAAAAAATTATGAATAAGTCAAAATAAACAACAAATCAGCCATGCGTTCGAAACAAATCCGCACATTCACACTACGATTCTTACCGTACCGATTTCACTCGATATTGTGTTCACATTTTCACGCACTTTACGATTTCTTTCGGCTCTTTACGTTAAAGTTACGTTTTAAACTTTGTGAAAATTTGATAAAAAATGTAATTTAATTTCATGATTTCGATATTAAAAAAAATGGTCCGAAATAGGTTTAATATCGAAATATTTTGGAATAAATTTGTTTATCCATTTAGAATGAAATAATTTATCACAACTTTATAAAACGTTGGTGATGGTCTTTTATTGAAACAACTAGTTATTAAAATCAGTTTTACGGCCATGAAAATATGTTAAACTGAACAAGTTAACACTTTGTGATAAACAGAATTCAATATAAAAAAAATTCCATCTCTTTTAAAAGATTCCAAGTGAGAAAAATATATTTATATTTTCTGTTTGGTTTGTTGAAACCGCGGAGCTCGCCGAATTTCGTGTCTATTCACTTGAACGGTTAGGCCTAGAATGACGTGTTTCTAAGGATGATAGTCGGCAAAATATCAAAGTGTATTTTCTATCGGGGCTTTTATTTCCACCGGATTTTTCCCCTTTTTTGGTGATTTTGACGCATCATTTTATGTACGCACCATGCACAGCATATACAGCGTTTCATTTCAGCAAGCAAAGCGATGACATCTTGCGTTCGTTGAACGAGAGGAAAGTGAAAAAAGGGGGAATTTTTTTTCTGAAAAAACGGTACATTATGGCTTTGTTTATTTGCAAGTCTATGTTAAATGTGTGATGCTGCTGCTGATGCTTATTTTGTCCTTCCTCTTTTTCAACAAAAGTTCACAGTACGGCTGCGTGAAATTGGTGCCATATCATGGTATACAATGCAAAGAGCATTTTGCTTTGATTGTGTACATATCGAATCATCTGAAGTACGATATAAAAATACATTACGTTCGATTATTTAATCCGAGAATTCACTTGGAATAGCCTCTTTTGACAAATCATATTCTTTGATTTCGTTTTGTTCTTCTTCAGCAACTTCTGTATCAATTCCACCCCCAAGACCAATTTAATGCCATTCACTTGACAATGCCGAAGCAATTTTTGAAAATCGTTTGATATGCGCTCAAACAATTACACGCACACGTACACACAAATACTCAAAAATTCGCATGCATGCACGCACGCACGCACTAACAAAAGAAACAACAACAAAAACAACAACATCTCGGATGCCTGCCGAGCAAACTTCTATACGTCGTTCACATTTGATTATCTATTAATTGTTTAATTTCAAAAATTAACTATCACTTGTTCGGATTATTCCAATTACATTGAACTTGGGGGGTGAACTTAAGAAAAGCAACGTAATCAGTATAAAGTGAATTGAAAATGAAGATCATCAAGTCATTTGCATTATGGAATAAGATGGCAATGATACTGAAACATTTTCATTCACATTCGATGAATAAACACAAATCAAAAGTAGCGCAAACAAAACAAATTAAAATCATTTTATTCTAGCATGCATGTTGCTTATGGACGGAATCATGCAATTCAGTCAGCAGTCAGTTCCTATCAGCCATTGGGCCACATTGCATTGCATGACATTTGTTGTAATTATTTTGTGTGTGGCCGACACAATTTTCACGACACAATTTGAACTCTGAACTGATAACTTCGGTTAATTTTCATTTCATTGCCAAGTATATGTATATACAAATACATGGGTTCAAAGTGTACATTCCGTACAAATGTGCCCATGCCCATTCAATTGCATGCATTCCTTAAATGCCATAGTAATTAAGCGACCCATACACTTCGATGAGTGAATGGTACTGCAACACAGCGACTTTGAATTAAAGAGCGTCGATTGTCGTTTGTAAAATGATGTAAGTATTCATAACGCAATTTATTAATGAAAGAATTTGTTAGATTCCTGCAAATTACGATTCTTTATTCATTAATGCTGATTACTTGGGCCGCGCTAATGTGCATTTTTACCCTCTTGCGATCTAACGAGCTTTTGTCAAAAATTTATTTATCGCAATTGTTTTCACTACTTTTTTTTATCATTATACTTCGTATGCCGCCTATTTTTTAAAGTGGTGTCGTTTTTTTTAATTCTTCATTCTATTTCGCCTTCGTTTTCGTTTGCTAAAATAATATTTACATAAATTTTATTGGATGTCAAAAATCATAAGCATTTTTGAACCCTTGTACACATGTAAAGAACAGAAGCATCTTTGGTTTCGGTTACTGCTTACTTTGGATATTACTACTGTGGTTGTTGCTATCGCTTCGAACTTTTCGACAAAAGCAGATAGGGAGCGAAACGCATAGATTTATTGTTTGTATTCTAATGGCATCGAATCATAATCATAACCTTTGCTTTCGTCTATTTGTGGGGAGCACACACAAAATAAATTACAGCTAGCGCCGAAAATCCTAGTACATAGGTTCTGAAGTCGCGACACTTTGGCGCCATGTATAGTTTGACAAATATGTAATAAGAATTGTTCTTTTGCTGCTCTTTTTGTTCGGCGTTTTTCCAAAAATGGAGAGAATGGTGCTACTTCTTTTTTTGTTCTCTCGATGCTCGTTTCCCCCATCGTTGCCATCTCATGCCACTTTGAATTGTATGTGTGTGTGTGTGTGTGCGTGCGCGTGTGTGTGTATCTCTCTGTTCACTAAATGCTTTCAATACCATTTTTTTCTCTGTTCGACAAAGAATACGTATCGCTCACATTGTATGAATTGGTGGAAAATTTTCATTCGGAAAACACACACGGTAGATGTGGAGCAAAAACATAGAGAGAGAATAGACGCATTGCCAGTAGCAAGAGTATATTATGATACGTTCACATTCGGCTATTTCGTGTTCGAATATCATCTTAATTATGGTTGGAAGCAAATACATAGATGCGAATGGATGGCAAAGCGCATGCGCCCATCTCGCAAATGATGCTGTATAAATACTTGCTGTATGTATGTCTTTAATAAATTGGGCATTTGTATTTTTATGTAATAATACCATTTTTTTCGCTCTTTTTCACTCTCTTACTCAGTCTGAGTGCTGTGTGTACCATTTTCTACTTTCTCTATGTATGTAACATGTACTAAATGTAGTTCGGAGCCACTTTAACTATTAACTGAAACACACAAACGACCATTTTTTTTAATAAATTAAATCAACTCTGACAAACAAATAAAACAGAGATAAAAAAAAACGTCCAATAAATTATTCAACTTTTCGTTTTAAGTAAATTGCCCGATGGACAACGATCTCAGCAGTATCAACGGCATCGGTAACGACAACAGCATTCCAAGGAAACCACACAAATAGATGCCAAATTTGGTGGTTGTGTTACTCACCGAGAGGGCAGATATCGATAATATCACCGCTTTGTATTGATGCAAAATATGAACATTCACCGAACCAAACCGGAATATTCAGAATTACAGATATTTTAAGATAGATCACCCCAAAATTAAAATTTAAACAAAAGAAAAGTAGTTTCTAACATTTTGATTTGTTTTTATCCGGCAAAATCATCAATCTGAAAAATCTGCATATATTTTGACGGAATTTAAATTGGAATTTGTTTTTTTTTTAAATGAATGAAACATGAGCATTAAGCATTGAACATTGAGCATCACCATAATGGTTTAACTGCTTCAACATGGCACATATTTAAAACGAAAAAAAAAAAACGAAAAAAAAAGAGTTTTACGTATTTGGTGAATGTGATGCTGTGTAAATCGAATCGAAATCGATGCAAGGTTTCACTTAATCTCCCTCTATATCTCTGTTTCTTTCTTTTTCATTGATGTTGTGTTACAACAACCACCTACATCGATACACAAATCTATTGATATTAGTATCCAACGGTTTTTGATACTTTGTAAATATGTCCCATTGGTTTGTGCTAGAAGTGCGTAATTTTATGCCATATTTTAAATTAAAACAATTCAACAAACAGAAATTGAATGGTCAATCTGTGAAGCAGCGTGTCATATTGCGTTTTGCTTATGTTTTTTTTTTTTTTTTTTGGTTTCGTTGAAATGATCGTACGGTTTTGTTCGTTGAAATGCGGCTTAAATAAGTCGATTGATTGTAATGTATATGCGTGCCAAGTTGCCACAGCAAATCATTTATGAGCGTTGTTCCCAATTCGATGTGTCTCCCTTTCGCGCACACACACACACACACACACACACATACAATTCAAAGTGGTCAGATGCCGCGCGCGCGTTTAACGCAAACCATTGCCATTTTGCATGCACCGTTCGCTTCTAAAAAAAAAGTGTTGTCTTCAATGCACGAGATAATGATATATGTAAAATCGATATTTCACGTGGCTACACACAGTTTGACGAGAGAAAGAGCGCTTACTAACGACTTTTTTTGTGTGTGTTTCGTTTGCTTCTATCTATTTTCTGTCACGATTTATATGACGATATGCAATTTGTTGATGCGTCTTTGACGACTTCGATGTTGAATGGGTGATTGCAACATTTTTTTTTCTAAAGCAGGGTGTGCAAAAGAGAGATAGAGAGTGTAAATGTATTTGTGTGTAAATATGATATCTGCGAAGTACAATGAGACCAGAGCATGGAGCAAATAGCACAGATGGCATTTTAATGAAAACTCATATATGCAAACTACTGAATGCTTCTAAATATGTTTAAATGGCATCCATTGTTGATTTTTTTTTATTTCGTCGTTGTTATTTGTTGGTATTTCGAGTTCCTCCTACACCGTACATTATAACCAACACATTACCAAATCACATATTCGTTGAATTACAACAATTTGTGAGTGAATTTTTCTTCATTTCTCTTAAACTTATGAATGAAATATTGAAGCAGTTTTTTTTTATTTTCTTTGAAATAATCGATTTGTACACATTACAAAACATACATACACATGGGCATATGGGCGATAAAAAAAATTCTTCCTGCATTGAAAATGATTTTCGGAAGTTGATATATGCACACGTACACACAACTCAAAAACGGTCAAAAACTAATGTAAACACCAAAAAAAAACTTAAGTGCTTAAAATAAAATACCTGTGACAAACATGTATATATAGCGGAACCAGAGTCAGTCGACGTTTTATTTGACACATTCATCAAAATAGCAAATGTTATGTTTTTTTTAGAAGAAATAAATACACATATATTTTGAATACACCAGAACTGAACAAGAGATAAAAAAGAAAACAAGAAGTACCAGCTTTGCTGACAGCTAAGGAAACAAAATAATAACAGCCGATTTCGGAGAATAAATGTTAACAGAAAGAAAAAGAATCAAAACAAAACAAATTACACCTCGACGAATTTTACATGTATATTGGCTGTGAAATACGGTATGGCTTTATATTCTATTTTTTATTTCTATTTCATTAATGAAACACTAAACACAAGTGATTGCAAAGCAACTTCGACTGAGAATAGACTAGTTAAGAAATCGATTTTACCAGGGAATACACAATTACTTACTACG